TGAGTGGTTTAATTTCGGTTAGGAGACTTTGGTGTATGTTGGGATATGTGGTATTCGGGTGATATATATATATAGTATGTGGTGTGGCATGTGGTATCAATATGATATAAAAATCGTATAATAAAATACCAAGTAGGTAAAATAGAATAGAATAAAATAAAATAACATAGAATAGAATAACATACAAAAGAAATATAGAAAAGCTACAGGTATGATATAGTGGTAATAGATAGGAATAGGAATTGCAAATGCAAATGCGCAGTACCTAGGTATGTTTGTAGTGTGGTATATTTGAAATGATCTCCTTCTCTTTTCTCCTTCTATTGTTTTCTTTTCTTGCACAGCTCTCAAAAATTTAAGTTTAAATTAATTCAGATCAAACCAAGACAAGCCAGACTAGACCAACCCACACCAGACCAAGCCAGACCAACCACCCCACATCCTCTAAACCCACCCTCTAAACCTTATCCCCCAAAACATCACTCACACTCCCACTCGCCGAATGACTCGGACTATACGCGCTACTCCCAGGGGTATATCGAAACCCATCCGCCACACTTCCACTCTCCTCACTCCCATCATTATCTTCATACGCTGGCAGGACCTCATCATCATCTTCTTCATCATGCATTCCCATTCCCATTCCCATTTCCATCCCAACTCCATGCGTATATCCATCAAAACGACGTATCTGATCTTCAGATACGTTTCGCTGATGAGCATGAGCAGATGCAGAAACAGGAACAGGAATAGGAATAGAAATGCAATGCGCGGGAGCGGGAGTAGAAGAAAAAATGCGTCCTTCCTCTGCTGTGACCATGTCGCTTACTATATCCGCTGCATTGCGGAAGGAGGAAATATCTCGGCTGATGGAGAATTCAGAGAGGGTGTTTTCGTCTTCATTTTCATTTTCATTTTCATTTTCGCTTTCATAGTTGGAATCGGAAGTGGAAGCGGAGAGTAATCGATCTTTTTCTTCGAAATCTTCTTCTTGGCCGAGGATGCGGTTCCAGTAGGTTCTGAAAGTGGCGCGGCGACGGCGGGGGTTGAGATGTGGGGGGGGTGCAGAATGGGATTTTGGGTGGCGGGTGCGTCGGTGGAGAGTGATGAGGAGGAGGGAGAGGAGGAAGCCGATGAGGATGAATTTGAGGATATGGAGGGGGAAGTGGGGTGGGCCGTGGGGAGGGGGGCCTGAGAAATCATCTTCGAGGAGGTGGGGAGGGCTGTCGAAGTGTTCGGGGTTGGAGTGGGGTGGTGGAGGAGGTGGTGAGCTTGGGGGGCCGGGGTGGAAGGGGGAGGAGTGAGGGAGGGGGGTGTCGAAAGGGGGTTCTTGGTCTGCGTGCGGACCGCTGTGAGGTGGGCTGTGGTGCGGTTCTTCGTTGTGTGGGTGGTGGGGTCCCTCATGTTTTGGCCCTTCGAATAATTCTTCATGTGAATGATGTGATCCGTCGTGTTCAGGTCCGTCAAATGGTCCCTCGTGTGGATGTTCTTCAGGATTATCGAAATCCGAGCCTTCAAATGGTGGTGATCCTTGTTCATGATGTGGTTTAGTATGTTTTCCATGAGGTCCTTCAAATTCATCTTCAAATTTGTTATGTCCTCTGTGAGGTCTGTCTAACTCTTCAGAATCATCTCCATGATGTTCACCATGGTGTCTTGGTCGTCCTTCCCAAGGTCCATGTTCCTCTTCATCATCATTGAAAGGATGCATCTCATGGTGTCTTCCGTGTTCAAACCCATGAGGACCGAATTTATGTGGAGGAGGTCCATGGGGAGGTTCGTGTGGTGGTCCATGTGGTCCATCATGATGAGGACCATGAGGATGAAAATCAAAAGGAGGAGGATAATGACAGATTGGAAGAATATGGTGTCGATGAGGAGGGAAGTGTGGATCGGTATGGTTGTTCTTGCCGTGAGGCACTTGTGGAGAGGTATGGTTTCCGGATGTATGATTACCTGGTTTTCCATGAAATCCTTTACCATGTTTCTTATCCTTCTTTGAGCGCGATTCGCGAGAATGATGGAATGATTCTTCATCAAACTCATCACCAGCGATTCTTCCATAGAATTTACGAGCTTTCTCGCTAATAACTCCAGCGACACATCGAAGACTATCACAATCTCTGATTCTGTCATCAAGGTTGTGATGTTCTCGAGCGTGTTTTGAGATGTGATGTTTCTTTTTGTGGATGAGATACTTCAACTCTTTCATTTGAGCTTTCATGTATCTAAGCTCAGCCAATTCTTTGTGAATGTCGAACTCTTTGTGGCCCATGTGGTGTTTATGCTCTCCCTCTGGACCGTTACCCATAGGATGCTTGTGTTCTCCTTCGGGACCCTCGCCCATATGATGTTTGTGTTTCTCTTCAAATCCCTTGTCCATATGGTGCTTATGTTCTCCCTCTAGACCCTTTCCATTGTGATGTTGCTTATTCGATGATGAGTGATGCTCGATGACTTGATCTTCTTCCGAGGAAATAGTTTCGATATTCATAATTTCCGTCTCTCCAGTCTGTCTGAACAAAACCGAGAATCCTGAATTCTCAATTGCCTTTCCATCAACAAAATCAATCATAAACTTCATAATTTGTCCGCGTGGTTTACCATCAATAACGATACAATCGAAAGACCATGATCCCACAACGATTTTATTTGTTGATGTCGAAATGGAACCTTTTCCAGATGAGATTGAAGTTTCCGAATCGAATGTTTGTGAGAGAGGTTGACCATCGATTAGAACATTTCCAAAACCGCATGCTTCTGTGGAGTGAAGGATATCAACTCGAAGGTCTAAGGGGGAGACATCAGCTGATGAGGAATCATGTCCAAGATCAAGTCGAACGAATCCCATGGTATAAGCTTCTAGAAGTAAAATTTAGTTTTGATAGGTATGAAATGGTAACTCAGATATAAACTAACCAGTAGTGTCAACATTATTCTTTTCGGATTCGATATCAACATCTTGTTCTGAAGTTGGTGGTAAAACAAACGCCGACACTATGGCCGGCGCAAGTAAGAATGCCTTTAAAAGGCTACGCATAATGATGAGAGAGCACAGAAGTGAAAGATAGAGTGAAATAACAGTAAGATTTAATAATAAATAATCAATAATAAATAATAATCAATAAAGAAATATCATGCAATAGCACAATATCGAAATACAATATTAATTGTATGGAATACTGTACTATTTCTACCAGTACAATATCTAACCGAATAATTACTCGAGTAGACAAATAGACAAAAGATCAAAAAAAGATCAAACACAAATTTGACCAAAAGAACAGAGAAAGCCTTGAGAATTAAGAGGAAAGAAATCAAAGAAATCAGTAATAATAATATAACGATATAAGGTTTATTATTTTCATCTTCCCCCACTGCCTTACGAGTCCCTTCACGATTGCGCAGTCATGATTAACCGAAACTAACCAAAACGATATTACGCGTCGTCAGCATCAAAGCGGTTATCACGGAGTAGAGAGTAGGAGAGTAGGATAGCAAATAAGAAACGAGAAATGTTTGCGTGCGAGGAAAGACATCTGGATATGTTGATTGGCGGCGACGACTTTGATATAATTGTATACTTACTAGACTACCTAGTAGATATCTCGACATCAAAATATGTTTTACGTGATGGCCATGAGTGAAGGTTTCCGACATTTCCATTGGCAGCTGGAGAGTCGACATTCTGTCGGTACCGAGAACTGATAGTATTGCCTGAATTTCAAGGCTACAGTTTATACCTCAATTCTGACCTTCTACCATTGTGCCTAGCTGGTCAATCTCGAAATCCGTCATAATTCGATACGGTAACCTAAACGTCTCAATTATTCCTTGAATATCAAATCCACCCTAAAGCTGAGCGCATATCAAACAACATTATATCATCTATCCATTCATCTCCAAAATGGTTGTATGTACTCCCCCAAAATTAGATCTACATTTCCACGTCTCCTACAAGCTGCATCAGTTGCGCGCATACAATCTGCGATACTGATTTCTTCTGCTATAGCTCCCCTTAGGTCTACTCACGGCCGCACAAGGTCACCCAATGCTGGTTGAGCTTAAGGATGGCGAAACTTTGAACGGTCATTTAGTATCGTGCGATACCTGGATGAATTTAACTTTAAAGGAGGTGGTTCAAACGAGTCCGGTACGAAAGATTCTGTCGAGGGTGGAGCTGGGGCGTTGGATGGGAATGCGCTGAAGCTAATACTTCGAATTTCAGGATGGCGATAAATTTACAAGGTTACCAGAAATATATGTTAAAGGAAACAATGTACGTTTTTGTCAGGAAAAGTCGGACGTGGGTTGAAAAAGCTATATCCTAACTCATTTCGCAGATCAAATATCTACGAATGCCAGATGAAATTATCGATTTAGTAAAGGATCAACAGCAAGGACAACAAAACAACTACAGAGGTCGCGGAGGTAGTAGGGGCGATAGAGGTGGTGATCGAGGTCGTGGTGGTAGAGGTGGAAGAGGAAGAGGAAGAGGAGGGAGAGGAGCTTGAAACATTGATGGTGGTGATGATGAGCTCAAATTGGACTCGAAGAAGCTACATAATGGCACGTATAATATACACAAAGTGCAGAGGGGCGGCTACATTTCTTCTTTATGAGGATCGAAGGATTTCGATATATGCGGCAGATTTGCCTTGAAATGATGCAGGCAGGTATACCGGGTATATGATAGGTTCATATTGGATGTGAGAAATCGTTGAGGCACATATACATATGTCTCAGCAGAGTCTCAAACCATCACATATTTATTTCGAGATCATAGCCCGCAGCAACAAAAACAACAATTTCCCCCAAATGCTTTGATCTTGAACTTCCTCCATGGCAAATTAAAATTACCCCTGTCGTTCGCATGAATCCCGCCCAACGAATCGCGGGGATCCTATCTTCCCCTCTGTTCCCACGTGATTCTTTAACATTTCCGCCGCGCCTAGAAATGTTTCCGCGAACCTTGAAAATAAAAATTATAGATCAACTCAATGACGACCACAAAAATTCCAATTGATGGACTATGGCGATGTCTTTGTCCTTCTATAGATTCATTCATTCTTGCGCGTTCCAATACCTTTAATCAACTACCCAGAAAGTTCTTAAATCGTCCTTGGGTTAAGAATAAAAAGATCCCAACATGTTTAAAAAGTCGATCCTTTCATACCACTACCACGACGTCTCTGCCTGTGTTAAATGGGCAATATGCTCCGAGATCGCGACATAGTAGAGAGAAGCTGAATATACCGAAACCTATTAATCTGGAACAACTGAATAACGATGAGATTCATGAACGATTGAGAGAATTGAAGACGGAAGCGGGCGCATATACACAAGTCGCAGAAGTGGTGGAATATTTGGTCAAGGTCAGACAGGAAAAACCTGCGTTGATACATTATGATGCATTGATTGCAGCCAATGCGGATCCTGAAAATGGAAGTGTAGAGGTTGTGAGGACTTTGTTGGAAGAGATGAAGGGGTTGAGAATTGGTGCTGATTCGGGACTGTATCATACGGTTTTACAAGTATGTATACTTCACGATCTCTCTTGGGAGCAAGATGGCTAATGGTTCACGTTGAACAGGTACTTGCGATTCATCCAGATTATCTTTTACGAACTCAGATATTGGAAGAAATGAAGGAGCGTTGGTATGGTTTATCTCCAACTGGATGGCATAATTTGGTCATTGGTCTACTTCGCGATCGTCAATATGAATTGGCCATGGACAAATTTGAACAAATGCAAGCAGATCAAATCGCAATTAAGCCATGGCTTTACGATATCTTCTTCTTTAGATTATGTGAACTGGATGAGTTGGATGAAGCTTTAAGACTGTTGAAGTCTCGATATGATGAACCAGTACTGGCTATGCATATGTATTATCACTTGCTGGATTCATTTGCTAGTTCATTTCATGTAAGCAAATTTTTACCATAGCTTTATTTCATCTATTGACTTTTGATGTAGTATGAAGGTACCAGTTATATCTGGAGACTTCTGGTTGAAACCTCGGAAATGAATCCTGCAGATGGAACTTGTACCGCAGTCTTAAATTGTGCTGCTCGTCATGCAGACCCCAATTTAGCTACATCAGCCATTGGACTTCTTTCCAAACGTAGCACTGTTCTTAGCGTGCATCATTATGAAGCTCTTCTCGAAGCTTACGTCGGAATTGAAGATATCAAAACTTCGTTCCGCATTTTAAATATCATGACCAAAGCAGGTCTCACACCAGACGCAAGTTCCACAAGATCAATATATCTTTGGCTAACAAAATCATCATTCCATTCTCTTGAAGGATGGAAAATGCTTAAATCCTTGAAAGCGGATGGATATACGATTCCCATTGCCGCTGTGAATGTCGTTCTGGAAGGCATCATCTTCACCAATAATCTAAGTCACAGTCGTGACTTGGCAATAGATTATTACAAAGAACTCCACCGAATATGCGACGCGGGTCCCAATATCGAAACACTCAATACTCTTCTCCGAGGTCTGGCTCATGGGAGAGGATCCAAATCTAAAGCCATGTTCCTCGCGTCGGAAATCCAAGCTTTGAATCTCAAACCTGATGAACTTACTTATGATCGACTCATTTTGATCTGTCTACATCCGGAAAACGCAGATTATGAGGATTGTTTTAGGTATTTGGAGGAAATGATATTGGTGGGGAAAGATAAGGTTGATGCGGCGGGGAGGAGAGGCTGGTGGATGAGACCGGGGACTGTGGTGGCGTTGGTGAAGAGATGCGTGGAGAGTGGAGATGAGAGGGCCTGGCAGTTGATGGAGGATATGAGGGCGAGGGGTATGGTTAATGAGTATACGCGGTTGAAGGTTTGGACGGAGTTGTATTGGCCGAAGGGGGTGGGGAAGGGGAAGGGAGGAGGGGGGGATGTTGTAAGGGGGGAGAGGGGAGGCGAGGCGGTGGTGGGCTAGTAGGAAGGAACTTCGTTTTGGAGGGGGATGAGATGATGATTTGAGTTGATACATATTACTAGAATATTATGAATAATAAATCTCCTCACTTTATCACTTTTCTTCATTCTGTATTCTGTCCTATCCTGTCCTGTCTGGTCTAATTTAAGTTTTATATTTAGCCCTTCATTTATCTCAACTCTTTATCTAGAAACTCCAGCCCCTAGTATTTTTTTTTTTTTTCTTCTTTCTTCCTCTACACTGTACTCTTCCCTCTTCCCTCTTCCCTCTTCCCTCTTCCCTCTTCCCTCTTCCCTCTTCCCTCTTCCCTCTTCCCTCTTCCCTCTTCCCTCTTCCCTCTTCTCTCTTCAAGATTAAACCACCAAACTACACCTCTTATTCTCAAACCTTCTACAATATATCCGTTAATATATTTACTCGTGTATTTTGTATTCTGGTTTGAATTGATATTTGTGGAAATTGAGAAGGGTTGCTAAGGGGGCTTAGGGATATATAAAAAAGATTTGTATTTGTGTGGGGGTTTGGGGGTGGGGAAGGGGAGGAGGGGGGGAGAGGGAAAGTAAGGAAGAGTAAGGGAAGAGTAAGGGAAGGAGAAGGGAAAGGGGAGGGGGAGGAAGAGGGGGAGGAGGAGGATGAGGATGAGATAGGGATGAGATGGGGATGGGTGATGAGGAGGGGGATAAAGAATCGTGATAAAGAGATGAAGATGCAGAGATAAAAATAAAAATAAAATAAAAATAAAAATGAAAATAAAAATAAAAATAAAAATAAATTCGAGGATATGAATTTCATGTAATACAATGCCATGGAGGTCAATGCAATAGAGGTAAATAAACTAGAGTTAGATCCAGGCAAATCGAATCAACTCCAGCAAACCCCGCCACAAATCGAATAGAAAAATTCGTCTTCCATCTTCATCTTCGTGAAGCAGAATGTTGAGAATGAGTGAGGATTGTGCTGGTTGTGTTGGTTGTGTTGGTTGATGTTGTGGAGTTTTGGGGGGGGGAGGGGGTGGGTTAAGTCGGGTACCCTACTTTCGGGCCACCCCCCTTTTGGGCCACTTTTTATACCCAAAATACACCAAAAATGGAATTTATAACTTTTTTTATTTATGGATAGAATTTAATGAAAATTTGTATGTATATAATTTAGATCGATTGAAGCTTAATCTGAAATTTTCAGATTTTTAGGATTTTTTTGTATTGAAATATAGAACTTCAAAATATCGAATTTCAAATTTGTATAGAAATCACATACAAATTTGAAAATTTTATAAAATCTTTAATAACTTTTTGATAAAAATTGCTAAAAATAAACTATAAAATTTTATTATAAATTTATAATATACTTTATCTAAAAGATTCGAAAAAAATAGAAAATCTCTTATAAATAAATATTTATAGGGGTATCCTCAAAATAACAGGGATTATTTATATTATTCTAAACTCATTGTATACTATATCTCTATATCTGCTAATTTTTTCGAATTTTTTTTTGAATCTCTATATAGATTCAAGTTTAAATATCTCAAAAATATATATAGTTTTCTTTTAATAATTGTTGTTAAAAAGTTATTAAAGATTTTATAAAATTTCTAAATTTGTATGTGATTCCTATACAAATTAAAAAATCGATATTTTGAAGTTCTAGATCTCGATATAGAAAAATCCTAAAAATCTGAAAATTTCAGAATAGGCTTAAATTGATCTAAATTATATATATATGAATTTTCAATGAATTATATTGTATATTGATAGAGATATTAATAGGCCTAAAAAGTGATTTTTGGTGTAAAAGGGTGGCCCAAAACAGGGGTGGCCTGAAAGTAGGGTACCCGACTTAGATGCTGGGCTGTGGGTTGATGGGTTGGATTTGGATTTTTTGTATTGTAAAGTGTATATTGTATATTGGCTGGAGTATTGAATTTATTATAGGAGGTGTTTGGTTTGGGGGGGAAGGCATAGTGAGAGTTGAAGGGGAAGATGTGTGAGAGGTGAGAGGTGAGAGGTGAGAGGGGTAGGATTGGGGATTGTGGGGGATTGCTGGGTGGAGAGGGAAAGGAGGTGTATAAGGAGATGGATGCATGTGGGAGAAGACACGGTGTGGATGATATTCGGAGATGGGAACAAGAACGACAGGAGGAGTTTAGCTGGGGTGTTGAAGAGTGGGGAGTGGGGAGTGAGGGATTAGGAGTGTTTGTGGCTGGGAGGGGGATTGTGGAGTTCTTGGGGAGAGGAGAGGGAGGGATTTTAGGAGAGTGGTAGTGAGGGGGAGGGGGAGATGGCGGGAGAGTGGTTGTGTGGGTTGGGAGATGGTGGTAGTGATGGTGGTAGTGATGGTGGTAGTGATGGTGGTAGTGATGGTGGTAGTGATGGTGGTAGTGATGGTGGTAGTGATGGTGGTAGTGATGGTGGTAGTGATGGTGGTAGTGATGGTGGTAGTGATGGTGGTAGTGATGGTGGTAGTGATGGTGGTAGTGATGGTGGTAGTGATGGTGGTAGTGATGGTGGTAGTGATGGTGGTAGTGATGGTGGTAGTGATGGTGGTAGTGATGGTGGTAGTGATGGTGGTAGTGATGGTGGTAGTGATGGTGGTAGTGATGGTGGTAGTGATGGTGGTAGTGATGGTGGTAGTGATGGTGGTAGTGATGGTGGTAGTGATGGTGGTAGTGATGGTGGTAGTGATGGTGGTAGTGATGGTGGTAGTGATGGTGGAATAGGTGAGTGGTAAGTGGTGAGGAAGTGTTGTTGTTTATCTACGATACATTCGTGCTTCTTACTCACATGAATCAACCGAGTGCAGATTATCTATTAGTCCATCAACAACAACAATAGAAAACACAACTCCTCCAATAGTCAAAACAAAAGGGGGTACAATCTTTACTCAATATCAACATCCATAGTTAGGTATATCAATAAAATTCTAGTTTAACTATCAGGGTTGAAGAGGGTACTCCCGATGCTCCCTATATCGAGGTTGTTGAACCTTTTGTTATATTCATGAAGAAAGAAGAAGAGAAAGGGGGGTGGTGGGGGGTGTATAATAAATAGGTAATTGAAAATTATCTAGGTGGATTGGTTTATTGCATATCTTTAGAATTGGACATGGAATGAAGTTTTGGATGTGAATTGTTCTATCTGGGATTTGGCACTCAGTGATATCTATATGATTCTTGTTTTAGTGAAAATCTGTTGATAGATTTGAGGAAAGCTGTGGTGTATGGGTAGGTAGGTAGGTAGGTAGGTAGGTAGGTATATAAACTCCTCACATTCTGATTTGCGAGAGGGTAAAAGTAATCAAAATACCTGACAATTGGAGGTCAGGTTGAGCTTCGCAATGTGGCGACTCCAGAGTCGCCCATATGAGGGGTTTGGAGGCAGAATGGTAAGTGAGGGATGAGGTTTGAGATGTATGTTGGTTCTTGATGGTGGATCTGGGAGATGTGGGAGGATGAGGATGTGAGATGGATGGGAATAATGATAGTAATGATAGGGGCAATAATGATGAGATTGAGAGGTGAAATGGAGAGGTGAGAATGACAGTGGTTGAGATGAGCAATTACTATCTAAGCGATGAATAGGGATAGAAATATACCAATAACAACAATATCTCAACCTCCTTTTTTGATAGTGAAAAATCACATCTATGGTTCTTCTATATTATTCCCGGGTCGAAGCAAGAAATAGCTACCTACCTAGGTATCAAGCGATGATGTGAGGTATCCACTATCCACGAGACAGCAAATCTCGGTTTTCAAAGTCCTTCGAGCGACTGTATAGTTATCTGTACGGAGTTTGTTGTGTCAATGGGAGAGGTAGTATGTGGTTATATAGTGTCAGAGGGGTGAATGTATGATGTGATGGGATTTGATGGGATTTGGATAACGGATTGTGAGCTTGAGATTAGAGGGAATTCACTGGGTAAGTTGAGGGATTTTATTTTTAGGTTTTATACTGTATATTCCTGGATTTCGGATCTTCGAAAGAAATTGAATTGGGTCTATATAAAACTCATCTTTTCCGGGTTTGATGAAGCAGTAACTTTGGACAAATCGGCAGGCGGAGCAAATAAGGTGGGGGGGGGTGAGGGGAGATTCGAGGTGTAATTACATATCTTGAAATGTGTACATGTGCATTCTCAACGATTTGGTCTAGTTCCGATGCAGTGAGGTGTATAGATCTAGTATGCAAGTGGAATGAGAATAGAGATATTATAATAATATGATTGTGAGTTGTTGTTGTTGTTGTTGTTAGGGAATGACCCTTTCTGAATGAACGATAATGAAAAATATACGCGGCTAGTATTATGAATATATTTTCATTGTACTCCGATGAGAGATCGATATAGTTTGATATAGGTTTATTCACCTTTTAGCATCAGGATATAGAATTATTCATGCCTTTCTTGTGTGCAGTCACCCAGCTCGATCGACTCTGGAGAAGTTTGTTCGTTAGTCTTCTGCCGGTCCTGCACATCTGTGTCTTCTTTAATATTTAATGAGGTTATATACTCAAATCTTCATTCTCAATATCCAAATCGTGTGGTAATACTTGAGATATAATGATACCTCGTTAGGTGAACAGTTCTCTTTCATTCAATTGGAGAATATATGGTCATGATCATGAATTAAAATATATGTTAAGAGGCTAGGTATATAAACTCGACTTCTAACCAAGAAGAGGCATCGGTAGATTGAGCACAGCTCCAATTGGCCATTGTCACAGAATCTCAGATGAGTTTTTCGACTGATAAATCTGTGGAGTTTGTTGCTTGGTCATGGATGGATGGGTTTCTCTGGGTATTGAGAATGAAGTGAGATGAGTTTCTTGACGGGGTGGGAAAGGAATGTTGTAGTTTGGTTTTGTTGACGGTGATAGAGTATACTTCGTGAATTGACAATGGAGATGAATGCTGACAGCGAAAATCATGTTTGGTGATATCAGACCAGCTTTCATCTAATCTAAATCTTATATGCTCTAGAAACTAAGAATCATATAGTGAGAATCTAATCTCCAAGCTGTTCCGCTCCCATTTCACCTGTAATTTTGATTCCTTCGAATTGCCTATCAACATACTCGTATTTTAATGATGGAAACGAGGGCTTAATATACTCAAACAAATCTTGGCGTCTGTAAGAAGCGAGGTAAATCAGGCAAAGCGCAGATGTTCAAGCATTATTACTTCACAATATCAAAATCTGTAAATTTTGCTTCCCATAAAAGACTAGTTATAGGTTAAACCGAAAGATTCGCAAATTTCTGGCGGTGCGGCAGATGTGAAAGATTAGGACCTGATGTGCGGTCTTCCGAGGAAATATTGTACTCGGGAGAATTGGCTGCTTTTGAGAGGTGTTTAGGATGGTATGTTGAGGTATGGCTTCGATGAAAGAGTCAATTGGGGTCATATCAGAGGTTTTGATGGACTAGAATAGGTTAATATCTCGGTTATGACAGCGGAAATATCTTTTAACAGCAAAAGATACATCAAGACTGTTATCCGGCCAAAAATTGTAACCTGCAACACGCGACCCTTTGATCCCTAATTTTCTCTTTCCTTTTCACCCATGGTTCTCTCCATGGGAACACTGTAGATCTCATCTGCTGTTTCCTGAAGAATAGGCTGCAAGTGCTTATGTACCCTTTGAGTCCCTTTACTCAAGTTAAAATGGGTAGGTCATATTCACTGAGGTTTATTGTGAAAATTTCATTTTTTGGTTTACTTCCTATATGTCATAAAACGAGAATGCCTTCGATTCTATATAAGGCTAGCCATTTGTAGAGAAGACGATCTTCAAGTTGATAGCAATCTCGCAAGATCGATACGAAGGCAGGACTTAGAAATGGGATATTTTCTGGTGCGGGTGTTTTACGGATGTCAATGCGTGAGCTGTCTATACGGGTTTGCTTAGGTGGAAGGGCATGATGTAGTAAACAGGTATGTAGTGGGAGATTAGATGACAGTGTTTTAGTATTGCTATCATGTTGATGAAATATATTGCTTCTTTTAACAACAAGAATGGCAAACATTGATAGTGGAAATGGAATCTAGAGTACGAGAACTTTAAGTCGATTTGGCATGTCTATTATGTCGACTCCACCATTCTACGTAGGCCGATGATTACATCTCCCGGATACAAATTGAATACATCGTAGCTGACTTAATGTAGATTTTGGAGTTTTTATTTGCTGTCTAGTAGGAAGGCAGGTTGGAGCTTATATACTTTAGTGAATTTGTTTTGGGTTGGGAGAGTCGTATTTGAAGATTGTTCGGGCTGTTTGGGATTATGTTGTAGCTATGATGATCCTTGAGGCTCTCTATTGGAATTCTGTGGGGAAAAGAATTTCTTTCTGTAAGATCTCTATAAATTTAGCACTCTGTCGTGCATGAAATTAGTAAATACAGTATGCCAATTTATGCATATATGGGCATGTCTGCAACTTAAACTGGTGCCATACGACGTAAGATTAAAGAATGGGATGAAACTGAAACTCATAATACATGTATTTTGGTAAAGTTATCTTGGATAAAATCGAAATTTGTCATTGAGAACATTGTGCAATTTCTGTTGTCATCCGAGTGCGTTGAGAACTTTTATTTTGGCAGCGAGGAGGAATCTACTCACTGTCCATGCTATACAGAATTGGATCAAAATCAGTAAGTGCTAGTGGTAATTATAATTATTTTAATAACCACTAAGCTGAAGCCCAATCATCGCGGCGACGTGCCAGAAAAACTGCTGACTGGAAAGACCTTGCTTGTTCTTAAATTGGACATTGTTTAGCTCGTATATCTACTCTGAAAAGAGGATTGAAGCTGTTATATACTCGGAAAACTAGCTGAGAAGAGAGACAGATTCAAAACTGACCAAAAATAGCGAAGGTTCTGAAACCATAATCTGGCAGAGAAATGCAGAGTCCTCTTTCCACTTGCACACAATATGTGCACAAACAACGCTTACTTAATTTAAGAAATTTATGTGTTTAGATTCGTCTATTCATCACTCAGAACTTTCTATGTAACTTAATATCATTTTTGGATTTTCAAACTAAACTTGCCCCCCTTTTCATCGATGAACATGCATTGGTAGATTAGCTATACTGAGCAAATAATCGCTTTGCGACATGCTGTGTTTGGAACGCCAACAATATTGTAGGAATTTCTCATCCAACATGATTGTCGAACAGAAAACAAAGTCGTCAAAATGATTCGTGTGCCAAAACCTCGAAGAGTAGTACGTATACAAAAAATTTACGCGGCCAGACAATACTACATCTCTAAGCTCTCGAAAGGTACGGAATCCTTGCATATCCGCACCAATGTCTAACCGGCGTGAAGAAGTCTCTTTCCATTCTCTGAGAATCTGTCTCGTCACTCGGAGAGTCTCCGGTTCCACTAGCATACCGTTGAGATGTGCGAATTTGTGTTTAGGTGTATTTTGGGAACCAACACACTCTCGAAGTATGGAGGATCGAGGTATAAGCTCCCATGCTAATCTGTACCATGATGCTTTTGGGAGTTCATAGCATGAATCGTTAAGTCTGGTCAGATCCTTCTGGATCAATCTTGTCTCGATAAGATCAGGTAGATCATCGATGAGATATTTGTCGGCTAGGGTTGCAAGATTCATGAGAGTTTTTGAGCGAGTCTGGAGTCCCTTGACGGTGAAGGTTATTGGTGCCTCGTGAGGGACGTCGAATACCCAATGCATGAGAATTGAGAAAGCTTCGGGATCGTCATCAGGTAGGGTACATGGCTTTGTGCTAGCTTCAAGCCATCCGTGGTTGAACATGGTGTTGAAAAAGGAGACTTTGCGACATAAAACGCCTTTAAGTACGTTGAATACTGTGGCTTTAGAGCCTTCGCCTACTTGAATGCTGACCATTTCGTCTTCAAGATCACCATTTTCTTGTCAGTAGATGTTGCTAGTCCAGATACAATCATAAACGAAATCTGGGAAACACACTCGTCGCAATCTAATTCATTCTTCGCCAGCTGCTGCTCAGCAGTTTCTTGAGAATTGATTGACTTTTTGCTTGATCGTAAGATCAGCGGTCGGAACATAGTTGGGCCTAATATGTATGCGTCGGGTGCTTTATCTGCGTTATTCATTGTGTAGTATTCTCCGCAGGTTGCAGAAATTTTGAATTTAGAGATAAGTCTATGAGACTGTTTGGTGGAGAAAAATGTAGGGTTGGAGAGCTTTGGTAATGTATCGAGAGAATCTTCCTTGAGAGGCAGATTGTTCAATCTGTGGTTTTGCATGTATTTTTTAAAAAGAGGTGAGCGAGACCGTGTTAGACTTCCTTAATATAACAAATGCTATAGCCATTACATCATGACAGTACGGAGGCATCGGCTGTGCGCAGGAAATAATGCGAAGGGGTATCATGGCCATACCCCGTAGGTAGAACTGACTGAGATGATTATGGAGCTGAGCCGAGCTTGCAGTAACCTCTTAACTACCGTTATATCTTCCACTTTCTTAAGCCACAGAATGCAAAAACAGAGGGGTCACATACCATGGTACAAGCTGTGCGTAATAAGTAGTGGTTCCTTCAGGCGACAGGTACGGAGTGATTACTCCTAAAAACTATATATCATACTCAAAGTCACTAGTGTAGATACCTTCGTTTTAGGTGAATTGAGGGCTTTATGAAAACCTCTATGTAGGTCCGTATATATATACATATATATTCCAGAATATTTTCCTGCGTTTGGTCATTAAGGATGAATGAGAAGAACATACAAAAGTATTAGACTACCATGTACAAATGACATGCAGCAAGCAAAATTATGGTTAATTTGAGTAAAATGACTTCTGATTGAGTTGAAAGTCATCTGAAAAGTCCCTAGTGACCAATAACATTTCCATTACACCATATGATTATCAGAACTATACTGTGTATTTTGAGCAAACTTGTTAGGAAAGATAATTAGCCGTACCTCCTCGTCAGATTTGAGTACCAGACTTCAACCAAATCTATAAGAATCTGGCTGAACTGTACTACAGCCATGCTGAGCCGTATGACTTGAACGAGTCTGCACCGTATCTTTCAAAGTAGTATGTATATATGCATCTTTAATCATCGTCTTAGAACCTCCTTTCTTGAACATCTAACAATCTTTCTTTATAAGATTACAGGAAGTAAGACGTTACTTGAAACCTCCACTTCATCTTGTTCGACACAAAGAATTCTTACCTTTCAGTCCTTCATATACTTCTGAAGTATAATTCTCAACCTGAACTACCATCGACTCCAAATCCAACTACAATCACCGTTATGACTTCGCCACGCCAAATCAAGTTAGAGGCTGAGGAGATAGAACCGGCAACCAAGAAAGTCGCGGGTAACGAGTACTGGATAGAGTAAGCATTCAATATATGAGTCAATGAAAAAGTTTGCTCACATCTTACAGCGCAATCGGCACCAAAATTGTGCGCCTTGAGGTCGGCACAGGTTTCGATCAAGTAGTCTTCAACGTCCATAAGGCAATACTTTGCAACAAGATCGCATTTTTTGATAAAATGTTCAATGGAAAGTTCTTGGAAGGCATAACTCATTGTGCCAAGATGCCCGAGGACAATATCGAAGCCTTTAAACTGATGCTCGGCTGGGTATACAGTGGAGTCATCGAGCCAGGAATTGGTCTAACCTTTGCAGATGGTAATTCCGCCAGCACACCACTCTTGGAGCTGCTGATACTCGCGGAAAAATACGACATCAACCCACTTGTTGATGTCACGATGGACTACCTGATCAATCTCCTCCAAGAGAAGAGAATAATCATTGGCGAGTCCCTGTGGGTGTATACATATAAGCATACACGTCGAACATCGAAGCTTCGATTATTCTTCACAAGATTAGCCATCTACGCGATGCGCTTCAAGGATGGAGAATTTACGAGTAATCCTAAATTCTGGACCCTGAAAGAGATACACTCGATATTAGCGCAGAATTCAGAGATACTCATGGATTATCTCGCTTTGACTCAAGGGGTGAAGCTCCAAGAAGATCCATTGATAGCACCACCTTGCGACTACCATCGCCACGCGGCTAACGAGGAATGCCCACATAAGCCGAAGACAATCGCCCACTTTACCAAGGAGAGTAGGAATAGGCCGAACGACCTGAATAGCGTATGAAATGCACTTAGATGCAGGTAAATACACTGCGCTGCAAAAATAAAATTGAGATTGCAAGACAATGGGTGTGTATCAGATCGTGTCAACTATAGTAGAACATTTGAGTCATGTAATTGGGCATCTGCGGGGAGGTTTGATAGAAGACCTGAGCTTGAGTATGTGAAGCAAGGCACAAAATATGTGGAGAATTATGTGAATAAAGACTTAGGTATATGACATAGACGTTATAACCAAGAGTTTCTTCTGCCGGCATCGGTTTCTTAGTCCATCAATACAGACCTAGTGCCACGTGATGTTCAAGATGACATTCTACAAAGCTTCCGCAGCTGTTTGAATCATGATATGAGTTCAAAAGTATGCCACTTGGATCTGACTAGTAAGTTCTATGGTGAAATCTGCTTGAAATAGGATACTGAGGGGAACGAAAAGCTTGGTTCCAGGCATGAATTTGATGAATCTTTCTTACGCCCGAGACTTTTAGATACTAGGTACCTACTCAAGATATAAAATGCTAATGATGCGCCATTGAAGTGAATATGAGAATTTGACACTAGTAAAACTCGTCAATAGCATTCACGGGCCTACTTTCTTCCAGGAAAGCTTTAATAAAAAAGGCAGTGCATGGAAAGTAAACTTGACTTTTGATTTCCGATAGAAATCGTAAATACTGTGAGCGATGGACTTCACTTTACTCGTTTAAAGATGCTGCGCCTGCCATAAAAGTATTCATTTTCTTCACAGCCAAGTCACCTTCAAGTCGCAGCGGTTTTCGAATAATCAACTATCTATCTTGGCCAGCTACGCGAATAGAACGTTTTTCGTGTAAGTTAAATTCCCTTCTTGATCTTAGACTTCCTCCTATACCCAAGCATATTTCTCAAGTCTAACTTTCGCATCACCAGAATAGCTATATTCCGGCTCTCAAGCTATCTTTGTCTACAAACTCAACGCAATCATGACTTCCAGCGATATGTGGTCAGCTTCTGCCATCTCTGAGTGGTGTACCGAAACTTCAACAACAAGCAATTTTAAAACTACCATGAACAACAGTGCCCATACTCGCCATAGTTCAAGCAGTACCTACATGCCAGAAGTTGGATCGCATCTATCTTTCAAGTATGTTCATTCATCTTACAAATCCATCAGATGATTTTGCTGACATAATTTACAACAGAGAATTAGGTCCTATCATCTTGCAAATCGAAGTTGGCAGTGGCAAAGAGCCTGGAGGTACCGTCACTTTCAAAGTCCATGCCAAACTTATCTACGCCAAAATTCCAGCCCTCGAATATATGGTCGCCAATACTTTTGAAGAATTCCTAGACCCAGTCAAAGAAATCCCAGATGTTATCCTTGCAAATGATGATCCCAAGGCTTTCAAGTTGCTCGTCGACTGGGTTTATACCGACAAAATCGATGGCGGTCTTAATAAGATTGCAAGCATCGAAAACACAACCATGCCCTCCAAGGGTTCCTTCAAAGGACTTTTTATGTCGATGAAGCTTCCAATCCTCGTTAAACTCTGCATTCTTGCAGAAAAATATCACATCCCGCGTCTACAAGATGAATCGATTGGCTTCCTCATCAAGTTCATGGTCGATACCAAGGCAAGAGCTAATCCTTCTTGTTGGTTGGAGGTCTACAAACACACTATTTCCAAGTCAAAGTTGAGACTTTTGATCTCCAGAATTGCGGTATGGCAAATGTCACAAGTTGGTGGATTGGATGGAGTTAGTGATATTGATCTCGATTCGATCTTATCTCGCAGTGAGGAATTACGTTTTGATATATCAACACTCACAGAGGATAACATGGGAGGTAGTCTAGCTGATCCGTTGTTGGCACCAGCTTGTGATTACTATAGCGATTAAGTTGGTAACGAATGATCTTGTTTACACATTCAAATACGCGGTGTTAGTTGAGACTTCAAGGATGAATTCACGCTTTAGCTTCGGGTGGTCTGCTTTCGTGAATTGGTTTGATTCGCTGGGCGGGTTGTTACTGCGAGTTTATGGAGGCACCAAATCAGATCTGTTTGTCAGATCCAACCAGAAAGGCTCATGGACTTAGGATGGTAATTTCAATTATAGACTATATTTCAAATTGGTCGTACCTTTTAACATGATGCTGAATATTGAAATCGCTATGTCAACGCAGAGATCTATCCTGAAGACACTCACTTTCTCACACATGATGTAATATTTTTACGTTGAACCTCAAAACTGAGGGGAACATTTTTTGTGTTCTGTATGCTATACACCCAACATACAATGAGACATCTACTTCGTCATCGTTGTTTTCAAATGCTTAGAATCCCAAAGAAGCCGCTCATCAACTCATCAAATCAGAAAAACACCCATTTCCTAGTCTATGCTGATTCAAGTGAATGAGCTTGCGATGCCACAGATTTTTGATTTCTCACCCTGATATTCCATGCACCGAGACCACACGATGCACTTAACTGTTCTCCATAAGGATATCGGGCATCTTTTTTGTGTTGGAAGCAGTCGCATGCAGGTGCTTCCATTGGATCTCCGTGGTGGACTACCGTCTTCTCCAGCAGAATATCTTTGACATCAAGTGTGAGATCACTGCTGCTTCTCATCAAATCCTGAATATGCTCATGATCTTACCTGAAGAATTACAAAGTCAGTTCATCCCATGGATCTTAAGAGAATTGGATTCTAGGAACGCTCAATATATTATTCAATTTTGCAACTATGCTATCATATTGACTTAGCTTAGGTGTTTCTTCCTTCAGGCTTTGAATGGGTATGACTTTTAGTTATCACGCATTGCTTTTCACTTATTCAATTCAATTTTTTGGAAGGTAAAATATTGAGTTAAAAAATATTCATTCCTATTAGGGTCTCTATTGAAGTTTATTCTAGTGTGTGTTTTGGGTGTACAATCGCATGAACTCAACCCTCATGGTTGAAGTATCCAAACAATTTCCATTTCCTCGACACCAAACCCCACACCGTATTAAACATTAATGTACCGCGTGCATACATTCTTTATCCTATTAGAAACGAGTATTGAACCCGATGGATTTGATTAGCTTCCGTTTCTGGTTGTTTAAAGCTTTCCTACAACTGGCCTGCTGGAGCCGTCTTAGAATCATCCTTGGATGCTTTCTTGAATCGATGGGTTAGGTGAGGGCTGATATCAACAAAAAGCTCTGGGATAGCGTCTAGAAGTGTGGAGATTTGCTCGTCATCCCAATTGAATTGATTGTCTTCTTTCATGGCTTCAGCCACAAGTCCGGCAGAGAAAAATCGGAGTTCTGATGTTTCAGGGGTCAATTCATACGCAAATCTGACATGCTCTGGCGTGAATCTTGAGTCATCGCGACTTTCAAAAATCTCCTTAATGATGCAATCCATTGCTTCATCTTGTAAACCATGATGTTCGAAGGTGTACGCGATAGCATATAGAGCGAAGAGCTCGTAGGTACGGCATTTGTTGCTTTTCTGCTCTGCAATCGAAGCTCCATATATCCAGCGCTTTAGAAGCTTGAATCCAGCTGGATCAAGCTCAGAAAATCCCATATAGAAACTCAATCGACTAGAATTAAGTCTTTTTGCGAAATAAGGAAACTTCTTTCCCAAAAGTTGAGCAGGGAGTTCGAGTACAAAGTTGTAGGTGCCAATCATGATTTTAGCCGTTGGTTCGCCGCAGTTTCTAAACAAAGTTAGCTAATAGACCTTCGTAGTAGATGGCATAATGATACAATGTGAATTCTATGACCCAAATGACACGCTGTAGCCCAAGCTAATGGACAACTTGATCGATAAAATGGGGTTAATTGATGGGAAATGAACTTACTGGTCAGGTTGTTCAGGTGCACTGTCTGAATCATCAGATGAGCTCACTGATCCATTACCATCTCCATTGCTTGAAGAGACACTTTCAGACATATCAGATGTGTGTTCTTGAGATGGGGCTGGAACAAAGGGAGGTTCAACGAGTGATAATTGGTGGGAGTTCGCAAATTCATGTTGTATTTTAATGCGATCCTCCGGTGAGAGTTCTTTGTCAACACAAGAGACGTCCGACGTGTCGTTGTTGGCCATGATTGGTACTTCAATTGATGTTAATAAGTAATCGATGGAAGAGAGAATATGAATACATCAATCGTTATTAACGATGTAAATGTATCTATGGGAGTGGCTACATACCAGATCGCAAACTTTCCATCAGTCAATGGAAAGTTTTAATGAATGTGTACTTTCGAAGTTTTGTCTACATGTTCAAGGTCGAGAGAAGAAAAGGGATGAAGTGTATATATACTGTTGGGTATAAGCTTCAGGAATCGTTGACTCCCCCCCCCCTTTTAGTACTCTCTTAGCTACTGCCTAGCGTCCAGTAGATCAAGTAGCTCTAAATTTAGCTGGAGATCAAGATAAATTTTCAAAATGGATTTTAAAACAACTAATCATTATTATATTATCAAAATTCGTCACCAAAAAGGTGTGCTTTTACATTATATTTAACCATAAGAGAAGTGATCTTTTGGATGAATTCAGCAGCAATTCTCTTGATTTTACGGATTATGGCATCTTCATGAGGCTCGCTTAGCCCAATTTGACATTTGACAAGACTTCGTTCAGCTTTTCCTCAATGATGTCTATGAAGTCGCAAGCTAGTAGTAGCTTGTATCTAGCTCCAAGTGTTCTGAGGCTAACCGGAAATTCATCACAACCAGTACGCCATACTCGAATCATCTTTCCGGAAGAGAGAAGGTTCGCGGCGAGCATAGTACATTCTTATCCATTCCAAATGTTAGTAGGTAGAAGATGCAAAGCAGTGGCTCACATCTCCGCCGCTCAAACTCCTAACTTTCAACACTTCATTTAGCAAATGATCTAGCGGGGTCGATCAAACCATTTGACCAATGAACTAAATTCGTCGCAGATGATCTACGGTTTCCTCACGTGCATCTAATTCCCTTATTCGTTGGTCATGTTGCTTCTACGTAATTTAGACTCTTTCACGATTGTCTAGGTCTCTGTATCTTCCATAATGTCACATAAGTAATGATTAGAGTCGTCAGCTCTAACCTTCATTGCTGCGCGGTGCAAGTTTTGCATACACTTATCCATAACGATCGAATCCTTTCCTTGATTCTCTTCTTGCATAGTCACATGTCCTTAGTTCTAACCCAACACCCATGAAATCTTCATCTCTGACCATGGCTCCCCATATCTATTCTTGCAGTTTGTCTTATTGTCCATTCTTGTTCCCATGATGACGATTCTATGTTCGCTCCTATGATCTACCTTTGCATCTCCCTTTCTGCCCCCACCAAAGTCCATAAATCTTTTACTCGTATTCCCAATATCCTGTGATTATAGAAGTCCCCACCTCTCCCCTCGATCCACTTCGCTCACTTGCTTCTTTACACCTGTTGCCATGATTCTCTCACTCGACCACATCTTTCTTGCTTTCATGACCTTGACCAATGAATACACAGCTTCGTGGCCCAATATGTAAATCAGAGTTTTCTCCTCGCACATATATAAATTACCCAGATGCCACAATGATTTTCCATCTTCTATTACCACATAATTATTGGCGCAGGGATACAGCCAAGAGAAGAGTAGATGAAAGGCGATAGGATGGTCGGAGAGGAGATGAACGACGACAATAGATGGGTGATGAGAGGAGATGGACGACTAGAGTGCGAATATCGACGAGGCAGGACGAGGTGGGTCGAGTGAAAAATGTCAAGCGACCCGAAGAGTAGTAGGAAGTGAGGAGAGAGTCAGAAACTCTGAAATTCTAGGAGAGTAATCGACTTTGGGGGCGACGGCCAATGTAGCAGGTTTCGAATCGAGTGCCTAGAACACTGCAGAAACTGTTAGTCTTCCAGTATTATGGACTGGACAAGACAAAAGGAGGTGTTCGAGAGAACATGAGGAGAAAAAGAGAGACCTAGGATAACTTACTGCACATAAGATAAATTCACAGATGCTGTCTCAAGAAGTTTTCCTCCTTTTGAAGTCTCACAGTCTACCCCCTGCTCCTTCATCGGCTCGGAATACTGGGTATGGGCGCCGGTGTCATTGCCGCAACTGCCGTCTTCACCCATGCTCTTTCCCTAAGTATCTATCATAAAAGTCAAATCATGTACTAGAAAACTCGAATACTAGTACATGAAATGAAGATCCTCAGTTTTTTACAGTCAAATCCTGGTTGAATTTTGTTAAGCTGCGTCAGACTTGTGTTGATTATTTGTCAGTATCTCATATTGTACTTCGTATGGTCAAATACCATATGATGACTATACCCATGTAGATTTGCAGTGTTAGGAAAGCACCTGTGCATATTTTCACAAGATGTTATTTTATCTAGAGAGCAAGATCATTATTACCATCAATACAGATATTCAAGACGTTCACAAAAGTCTGAATATAATGAGCCCATTCGCAAGTTTAAACATCACATAAAACAACCGTGAAAAACCATAAATAAATCATTGATATTGAGTTGAGTTTGGATTAATTACATCATGACGTCCTGTCGAGAAACTGTTTGAACATGTCTTGAGGATCATGCATACCTATTATGTGTGTGTAGACACCATCATCAAAAGTAAATGAAAACCTGAACCGAGCTGAGCCGAACCAAATCAAATTGAAACATAAAAGTCCAAATTTTATAGACACAAGAAGGTTTGTTCTGATCGAAGAAATGAAGGCCGAAAAAAAAAAGCACACCGTCCAGAAACACCCCCGGCATGGGTATACCCATGGGTAGATGGCTAAACAGTCTTGGTATCGCCGTTGAAAATATCAAAAACCCGAAATAAAAAAGAACCAATGAAAAAGAGAAAAGGAATCTCGAGAAATGATTTCGGATCAAAAGAAACTGCATAAAAACATCTTCTAGATCAAAAGACGCTGATGCAAGACCAAATCCACCATCCCATCACAAATCCTGATCCTCAGGGTCCATCTCAAATTCCTTCTTGAGCTGTGCCCTATCCTGAGCAACAGTCGTGAATGGTAATCTTCTCTGACGCCCAGAAATCTCAAGATTAAGCCGGGGACCCAAAGCACCGGGCGAGAGATTTATTGTAGTTTGATGATATCTCCGCGGTGGACCACGATCAAGTGTAGAAGGTGATGAGGCTGGACGAGGATTGAATGCGACCTTGGGACCTTTCTTGACGGGGGTTTTTCTTGACTTTCTTGGAGTACCCTTGGCGGAACCTTTAGCTGGACTTCTCGCTGAACCTCTGGAAGAGTCTTTGCGGTTACGTGCTCTCTTACTAGGACTCACCCCTTCAAAGCCATCTTCATCGTCCTCGTCTTCTTCAATCTCCTCGTCAACTTCTTCTTCATCCCCTTCATCAATATAATCATTTCCATCGTCTCCTTCGACCGACCCGGTATCCTGGAATCGGAAGTAATTGGCACCTCTAGCCGACAAATCATACCGTCTTTGGCTTCTAGTGCTAGCACGAGTACGGTTAGGTGTTACTGGAACGACCGCCTCACCTGGCTGGCTTCTTGTACCAGCTCTTTCTCGACGTGGTCTTTCCGGAACATCAACTGGATCCATTCTACCGGATTGATCAGAGGTTTGGTTCATGTCGCCGAATCCAAGACCAGCATTGATTTGTGCAAGAGGTGTGTTATGGAACATGAACTCATCCATGCCTTCAAAGTCAGCAGGAGCTTGGTCCATATCATCAATGTTTTGGTTGGCACTGTCGAAAGGTTGCTTCATACCACCGAAGCCAGAAGAATTAGCATCGGGATTGAAATCACCAAGATGACGAGAGGATCTTCTTGGACCGGGAAATGGCATATCTTGATCATTTAAATCCAAATTGTAGTCGCCTCTGAAACCAGCAAGGTGAGTTCCTGAGCGGTGGACATCATTGAAGTCGAGAGCTGGGAAAAGATCTGCATCTAGATCCATATTGACATCCATGTTTAGACCTATGCCAATTGGTCCAAAATCACCAAAACTACCGCGATTGATCCAAAAATCCTCTTGCGGATTATCAAGAGCTGCAATAGGTTGAGATACTCCATACATCTCAGGAATCTGATGGTTCGAAGTGCGATTTTCAATACCAGAAAGGTCAACTCCTGCAAACCCCATCTCCTGCTCGTTGTGAGTTTGATTGACAGCAAATCCTTCCCGATCTTGACCAGCAATAGTGGCTGTACGACTTCGAGATGCTAGACCGGTTCCAAAATCCATGTTTTGACTCACGAATGGGTTCAAACCGAAGCCACTCGGTGCGCCGACTCCTCCGTGGGGGCTTAGGGATCGATTTTGAGCAAAGATCTCAGGGACATTTGCTTGAAGTCCAAAGGATGGTATATGACGACCATGAGGTCCTTTATGAAGACCATCATCCTGTCCACGACGTGTTCTTTCAGATTTATGGGTATGGATTGCGGGGAAGACTTTTTGTACTTCTTCTTCCATCTCAACCCTAGCTCCATCATTTCCGAAATTTCCAGAAGATCTCGCATTTCGGCGTCCGAGCGATTGGTAGACGGCAGCGACCTGCAACTTTTCACGCATTTGGGCCCGATTCATAGTAGGAGCGAGGCTCTTCTTTGCTCTATCAGAGCTGGTGGAATGGTTTGCATCATTACCATAATACACGCTTGCTTGTCCGACTGTTGATTGAGAACGACGCTTAGGTGGAGCATAAGCGGGAACCAATTCTTCAGATGATCGACCACGACGTGGAGGCGCGATGTGATCAGGAACAGAATAGACATGGGCCGGCACAAGTGAAGAAGTATCGACAATGATGGTATTCTCATCGACAATGGGATTGGTTGCCTTGTATTGACCCATCGATAACTGCGAACGAGTAGGAAGATTGTGATCAGAAGCAAATCTATCGGATGCAGGTGATCTTCCTTGGTGTGGCAGTGCATTTTCGGTAGGAGCAAAACTTTCAGACGATTGAACCAGATTGAGAGGTGGATGATTAGAAGGAATGGGTCCTGTAACTGTGGGAACCACACCCAATGCACGATAAACCGTAGCAACTTGGAGTTGAAAGTTACGATTCACAAATTTAGCTTTGGAAGCTGCAGTAATCGCCTGTTGCTCTTTAGCAGCAGTCTTATCATTTGCATCAGCCTCATCAGTTGAGCCCGCTTGAAAAACAGACGGTGTGGAAAGAGGTGGAGATATAAGACGCGATGAAGGTACGCTGGGTGAACTGGACGTCTGGCTCGTACTGCGTGTGCGATGTGCAGAGGTAATAGATGAGCCAGCTTCTGTCCCCTTGTGTGCAGAGGGTGTAGCTTCTTTTGCAGCAGCTCTATTCGCGTCTCCAATCTCTTCTTCTGCTACCTTCAGCGCCTCCGTGTTGTACTCATGAAAGAGCTTGTACTCATCCCAGACGTGATCGACTAATAAGTGATCACAGATCCAAGGGTGTTCTGCAACGAACTCCATAGCATCAATCATCTCACGAAGAGAAAAACGCTCATCGTTATCCCCATCGACAGACTCTGCAGGAGACGAGCTTTCGTTTTCAAGATGGTCTTCGATCCCAGGACTACGGTTAGGAGTTGTAGCCTTGTTCGAGGTGCTTTCTTGATTTTTGGACGAGAGACATTGTTTGCTGTCGACTCGTTGTCGAGTATCATTAGCTCTGGCTTTGCTGTCATTATTGCTGGCAGTGAGCTGAATTTCCTCCTCCGTATCGGAATCGGTAATAACGGCAGGTTTCGGTGCACTTGTTCTGCGAGTATTGCTAGATATTGCAACTCTCTTTTCATTGCTCAGCTTCGTAGAACTGGTGGGTCGATCACGTTCGTCGTCGCTAACGCCATATAGGTCATCGTTTTGAGAAGCTATCTGCGCCTGGAGATCGCGTTCCAGCTGCAACTGATGAGCTTTTTCTTGAGGAGTACGATATAAGGAGTTCAAATTTATCCTGCTGATAGCTCCAAGCTCAGCAGCGGCGCTCTTCTCGAGAGCGAGGGCAAATCTCACGTGTTTGGGGTGTTTTTCGCCAGTGTGAGATTTGGAGTTGGAAGTCGTGGCTTGGTCATGACCACCGTTAACTTGAAGAGGGGCAATTTGAGGAGGTGGTAGTCGACTCGATGAGGTAGACTCATACCTACGTGGAGCTTCATCTAAAGAAGAGAGGTTAGCGCCTGTGCTTATTAACAGATCCCGTGGCTAGTAACGAACCACTCTGAGATAAAGCTAACAAAGATTGCGCAGCTGTTTGGCGACTTTGAACTTCAAATCGAGGATAACTTTGCACCTTTGACTGAGAGTCACGGCTAGATACACTGTGATTTGTGATAACGAAATTGTATCCTGAATGAGTGCTGAAAAATAACTGACTCTCTCGGCACGCTGCCTCGACCTGTTCCTCTATTTCGTTCTTGTGGTCTTCTATATCTCTAAACTTCCTAACGTGGCTTTTCCAGCCTGGATTGTATGTCTCGTTAGATAGCTTGACGCACAATCGCTCGCACAGTGTTGGCTAGTGAAAAGCTGTCAGTATTCGTTGAATCATGAATGTAAAACCTTACTTACATGTTTAATGAACAAACGAGCAAGAAATCTGGCATGCATCATAGCCCACGCACTGATGTTGACTTCTGGGTTGAGGTTTGGTCCTCTCTTCAATATCGGGATGACATTTTGAACTTTGGACTTGTAAACGTCCATTGCTTCAATTAATATTCTCCCGAATTCAACTCGATCTTTCTCTGGAATGTTAAGGACCTCAGATTCACAGGCAAGAAACCAAGTAGCTGGATTATAGGAGACTATCTTAGCAATGACTGCCTCTTGTTGCTTGGAGATAGCCATGATAGATATTGTACCAAACAGTGTGTTGTAGCAAATGCCAGGAAAAGATAATACAAAATTGTGAGTATAATACGCCAAATTTGAAAGCTTTGCAACCTCCTGTAAGGGAGAACTGGCAATAAAATACAAATTGAAGTTTGAGAACTTTTGAAATAAGCAAGCGTCTTTGTTGTTGACAGAATAAAACTGAGCTTTGGCGACGGTGGGATGGAAGAATAGTCGGCTAAAGCTCGGGTCCTCCGATCTTGTTTCCATGACATTATCAAAACTCTCGAAGTATTCACTGGCTAAGATAATAGATTTAGGAAAAGGTGATGTGAAAGACCTGGCTGTGTAAAGTATGTTCATGCCTTGTATCAATAGATCCTAGGCCAATTTAGTGAATATCTTTGAAGTGTTGAATTTTTCTTCCTTTCTCCCATAATTTGAACTCCTTGAATTGTTGATTGCACTTAATTGAATGCTAAAGACTGGTGAAAGATTACCTATTATACCTCTTTCTAATCATTCCAACACCTGTATAGACCGAACAAGGAGAGCTTTGAACAGAAATAAATTGTATGAATCTATGCTTGTCCTCCTGATTAACTTCCATCCAATGATCTTGAGTTCAATATATCAAACATATATACAGACCTCAGTTCCATTTACCTGCTCAGAATTTGGATGACAGACACTTATAGTATTATAAATAGTTGAGGTGCAACTTAGAATACTATTAGTTGATTTCTGCTTGATCAAAATTTGAGACAGACAAACTCCTGGAGGTATCATGTTTGTCAGAATATGATAGCTAGAGAAACACAGTGCCTATTGTGAACAGCTGTCAATCCTCAAAATTTGAAAACTTCCGGTTTGCTCTGTTAGCTTGTGATGGCAATGATCAAGATCTTTGGAATCCTATCCTGCAACTAGAACTATCCTTCACTAGGTATTGACATAGTGTTTGTCATCGGCAATGTAGAAAACCATCATACATTCAACAACACCTGCAAATATTATCAGCATTCATCTCATCAACTATAGACCCACCAATATTAATCCGATCATCAAACACAAACCCCCGACAAGTTTAATGTCCCATGTCAATTCCCGCTTGTTGCGCCAAGTCATCCGCTTCCGCTTTCACTTCCGCGTACCTTCTCCACGCTACTACATGTCTCATCTCTTTCCCCCTAATCACCAACCATACATAACCCCTCCAAAGACCCCCAACGATATCGATTCTGAGAAGTTAACTTTCTCAATTTAAACCAGAACAGGAACATCACAGCTTCAAGAACTTTACCAACTGTTCCAAAAACCCCAAAAGAAAACTCAATTCATCGACCCGAAGATTCCCAAAAAGAAAGCACAACCATTCTACCACCATACGCACTCTTCTCGTTATGCCTACCTATTCTTCTCATCTTTCCTTCTCCCCTCTTATCGCCTCTAATGATCTTGCATACATATAACAAGCATCTGGAGAACCCTTCAAAACCATACAAACACAATGCATACAAGCCTCCCTCCTACTCCTCCAAAATAGCATACAGCAAGAAGATCATGAATTTATCCCCTCTCCTATTCCCTCTCTTCTCCGCCCCCTGGTCATCTGACATACATACATACACACCCCAAAGCTCCTCAGTCCTTCTAGGCCAAGGAATTGCGATATATCCACGCCTCCCCCAATCAATCAAGACAGCATATTAGATACATCAAGAAAATCACAACTTGCTCTCTGTCCTCCCCCTCTCGCCTTTCCCCCCAGAAACCTAGCTTCACAAATCTACGAACCCTCTCTCCAACCTCCCCCCAGAAATCTCCATCTCAAATCCTACATCCCTCTCAAACCTCAAAACCACAACCACAACCCCAACCCAGCCATCCAACCCTCCCATCTAATCCTCCAACCCTCCATCTCAAACCTCAACCCTCCAACCCCAATCCATCTACCACAAAACACTTCCACACCTACCTACCTATATTTCCACTTTCCACTTTCCACTTTCCACTTTCCACTTCTCCCTAAAGAATACGTAATCTTACATTATAGGTCCCTACCCTATATACCACAAAATCTACAAAACATTGAGCACAGAAGCATAAAATAATAAAAGAAAGTTTGAATAAAGCGAGTGAAGTCTAATAGATAGCTATAAATACCTACCTAATAGATATCTAAATATTGAAATGAAGTCCCACGTTCACATTGAAGTTCCTATCCTATCTCTACGTAAGCGAAAAAACAAGCAGAAATCAAGTACCCTTTTAATAAAGGACTTTTTTAATAGATTATAAATTCATTTCAAATTAAATATTGAAATTTGAAAAAAATCAAATGAAAATTTGAATCTTTTTTATATTGAAATTGTATGGACAAGGGAATTCATTCAAGGGAATTCACTTCAAAGGATTCACTTCAATACAATGACAACTGTATTAAGGGTATTAGGCGAAAGCGAAGGAGACTAGCTCTTTCAGTAGTGCCTATATAAGGCCTACTATTTCCCTCATTTAGCTAGCTCCTTAGATTGAATACAAATAGACATTTAGGGGCCTACACATAGTGGGAACCACGTCTTCCGTATCTCTCTCAAACCAACAGAAATTAAGTATTTTTATTATTCAATATTATATTAAAAAAAGATCTTGATTATTGAAGTTCTTTTAAATAATAATCAATTTCCGCCGCTTTTTTTGGTTACATAGAGCCTATGTAAGGTCAAGCGCACGGACAGTTGGTACAACCTTATGTATATATATATCACGTGAGTGAGTTGGCCAGCCGCCGGGTTTTTAATTTCGTTTTTGTTGTTTGGATTTTGGATTTTGGATTTTGGATTTTGGAGGAGTACATAGGTATTTTTAAATTGAAGTAGAATTGCTTATAGAGTTGTAGGGATTAGGTGTATGAAGGAATGTGTGGGATTAAATTCGGGTTGGGAGAGATATTGAGGAGGAGAATTATCATTCTCAATTTTGGGAAGGGAACGTATATTTCCCGTGATTTCACGAAGCATATCTTAGAGTATATGAGGGGAAAGGAGATCTGTGATATATTATAAGAATTATTGAATATGTACTATTATTAATTATGATCTCGAAGCAAGTAAATCCACCAGTCCGCTTATATATAATAAAAATTGGTCGAGATGCCACCATGATGCCCATGGTTTTCAATTATGCCTGTATGTATTGACTTTTAGTTCTCAAGTAAGGACCGAACCTATACAGAATCCAAGGAATTGGTATCAAAGATACAGTAATAAAGCCCAGCATCGACGTTGCCCATGTAAAGCCAAGTTTGTCGAGAATCGTTGGTGTTATGAGAGGGAAACAAGCCGAGACAAAGAAGCGCATGAATGTTAGGGCGGCTAACATTGATGCACTATAGTGAGCAGTGTAGAAGTCGCTATGATATACTGGGAGACATAGCTAAGGGATTCTAGCGTCAGCTTTTGCTTGATTATCTCCACATGGAGTTGAAAGACATACCATGGTGAGAACAAATGAGAAACCGAATAGTCCACCAGATAGAGTTGGTATAATTGAAGGAATATCCGCGCGACCTGTCCATGCGAGCCTAATCATATTGTCAGTAATACAAAAAGATGAATGGAATAGAGTCATCTTCTTGCCAAAATAAAGACATAGGAAGTGTGATAGACCCCAACATGGCTGGATATAATCGTTTCTCTGGTGCAACTTTGGTCCCAGTTCGGATTGCTTCATTTCGTGGTTTTCGATAAAACAGTCGATCAAAGATGGCAATCGTCGGAAGTGCAGTCACACTTCCAATTATCAAAGGACAAAATGCCATTCCGACTTCATATGGTGAGTGTTGGTAGATTTTCTCAAACAAGTTAGCATATGATACGAGGTAGGAAAAGACCACAGATTGTGTTATTGCCATAACGAGACCGGTTGGAAAGACTGTAGGTTCGACGAGTAACATGTGTAAAGGTCTTCCGAGTGAGGTAAGGACGAGTCTTGCAAGTGTTGCCCTGGTAGTTGTGAGACCCATTCTTGCTTCTGCTCGTCGGCGCAGTATCTGTGGTTGATATGTTTCGGGAAGTAAATAGGCGAAAATTGTAGAGCCGCTGAAAAGTATAGCCGACACCCAGAATTCCCATCGCCAGGAATGATTTGTTATTATCGCTGCACTGACCATAGGCCCGGCCTCTGTCACACCGATGAGTGAGAAATGGTGATGTGGAAAGTGAGGCATAGATTGAGAACTTTAAATTACGGGAGTGCAGGATCAAAGGATAAATTATACTTACGGGTACCACCAACTACAAAGAGTACGAACAAGGCAGCAAATGTAGTTCCAGTTTTCTCGAGACTGATATTCCATAAATCACTTATGATTCCTCCACCAACTGTCAGACAAGGCGATGCAAAAAGACCAGCGAGTGTTCGGGCGATGGCAATCGTGGCAAAGTTTGTAGCACATCCTCCCAAGAGAGTAAAGATCAATGCTAGAGGTGCAGTAACTCTGTATACTATTCGCCTACCGAAAACTTCAGAAAATGCCGTTGAAAATAATGCCCCGATACCAAGGCCCGCAGAGTAACATGATATCGGAATAGTGGCTATTGTTTTTGAAATTCCGAACGATGTAACGACACCTGGCATTCCTCCCGTGTAGGTTGAATTCCCAAAAGTTCTGTCATATGATAAGCACGTGGGTATTTAGTAATCTTGTCAGAGTATGCAAGAACTTACGCTGCAAATGCTGTGTATAAAACCGAAATAGAAATAGCATATTTGATAACAGGAGACCAGTTACGAGCATTCTCGTCATCTTTCAGAATAATCGAAGTGCCTCGAGGACGTTGTGGTGCATATGAATATCTTTCCCATCTCAAACAACATTGAGGTTGTTGTTTCTCATTTAGTTCATCAGAAAATGAAGTACCTTGGCTGCTTTTTCTCTCATTCATCTTGATAGCACAATGATTATCAGAGGAGACAGGAGAGGATGACAATTGCTTGGTTCAACAAGCTCGCTGAATACATCGAAATGATTTATTCGAAGAGAAAGATCCTTTGGGGTATAAGTAAGAGGCAGTAGGTAATGAGCAGACAAATGCAGGTCCCGATGACGGCGCGATATACTTTGATCGTCTCCTCAAAAATTTCAAAAACGGAAGGCACAACTGGCCCAATCTGGTGCGTTTGGTCGTCATCGAGATTCAAAGTCTTACTTCTTCCACCATATCATCTTCTATGGTCGATCAAAAACTGATAGATGCTTCATCAAGATCAGGAGTTCCAAGGCTATTTCATTGTAAGATCGTATTTGCGGGATATTATCAATCCATGGCACACAAAACGTGTCTTTATTCAATGATCAATGTCATCTACGACCTATGACTGTCGATCAATTTTGGGTGAGATTCTCCATCCCTCATGAAATTGAGAGACTTATCGTCGAGTTTGCCTGCAATCCTACCTCCATCAGTCGAACCGACAGTCGACCTGAAAATTCAATAGACGTGGTGGTCTCGGACGGGTCCAGCAGAATGAAATGGTTTATCGGAGAGATATTCGACACCATCAATTCACCGATGAAGCTACCGCCATGGATCACACGTGTGGTGGTTGATAGGAATGGCCCAACCAGTCTCCAGCCACTGGCCGTTTCAACTTTGTCGCACTCATTCGCTTGAAATTGATCCATCGGACGATGTATTCCGATGAACTCGACGATGAATGTTATGTGTCATCTCTCACATCATCCATGTCACCACGACTTCGCTCACAATGGTGCAAGTACCCGGGACAAATGACTTCTTTTCCAAAAGCGTCCCAAAATAGGATCTTACCAACATTTTGGTAATCGTCAAATCGATCCACAACCATTACGAGAGAGAATGGAGTCCCCCATCGTCGGTAAAGCTTTTACCAGTGAAGTGATCCACAAATGGCGGGGATTACCTCTTTTGGGGTAATTCCCCCATGAAAATTCTTTGGGGTCAATCAAGGATATGTTGCAAGAGCAATGTAATGTGCGGAGTACGCAGAGATATAAAGCATCGCTGCCGCCCTGCTGATCGTCCGAGGGTTTCTTTCAACTCTTTTTCGCAATTCAACGAATCTTTCTTTTTCCTTCCATATCTTACCCCGGATACCCCACCCCCACAACAAACATAACAGAGCCTGCAGATGCAGAAGTTGGCATCGAACATTGAAAGGAATTGGAAAAATATTCTATTGATATTTCTGAGGGCAAATTACGATGATCTTGAAAAAGTTGTCACCAGAATTTTCCATCGCAGACGAGTTTCTTTTCATTGTCGTCGTTGTCTCTGAGGCTCATGGCACAGGAACGAAAGAAAACCTCAAGAGTCTTCCCTTGGCTGAGTCTTCCCTTGGCTGAGACCTTTCAAGAACCAAGCCAACCAACTTTGAGCAAACAAACCCAACTCAGATCGCACAACGCCTCGGATTTCTTTTTCTTACGTGCAACACAAACATGTTCCGACCTTCGAATCTTCCAATCGATAACGATTTATAATACGACAATGATGTTAAGCTCGATCATCCAGAGTTATCAATTGGGCTCAATTTTTATCCAGTCTAATCTGCATTCAATTTGGCACAGCGGTACAGTCGAACAAGAAAGTCACAACGGATGGAAGAAGACGCAGAGTAGGTGGAGCCATGGTGCATGAATTATTCAAATCTATATTTTTCATTGGTATCGTACAGTGATGCTCCCAATAATATCCCGAAATTATGAACGCCGACTAATGCATATTTCCAATCCCAGGTTTCCCTCATAAATTCGATCATAGATCGCCCAGTCATTGACACCATTATCCCGCAATGCTATGCTATGCTACAATAAACAATACTAAAACTGCGGAGTGACCCGCGATGGAAGACTTTGTCCTTCCGGAGACAGTCTGGAATCATATACACAACGCGGATGAATCCAACCACCCTTGTGAATAGAACCCGCCGTCAGGTCAACGAAAAGGGTCCGACAAATATCGTTACACGATTTGTTCCGAAACGGAATCCCCTCTACATCAATTCCTTCACACGAAAGGGGCTGTGTAAAGACCAGTCTTCTTCTTTTGCTCTTCATCGCCCTTCTGCGTACTAGCAAGCTTGGATCGAGCTCGTAAAAGATGCCCGTACTTAAACATGATGAAAGGAATGAAGGTCAAGGCAGTACCAGCGATTGCGAGAATCAAACCGGCATATTGGCTACCGACATTGTGGAAGAATTGGCTTGCGAACAATGGCGCCACTGCACCCAAGGCGTTACGCATCAAACCCTGTCCAGCAATGGCGGAGGAACTATTTTCGCCATAACAATCCGAAGTGTAACTGTATGTGGATTCGAAAATGAAGAAAATGCCCATGGAGATTGGTGCAAGTGCAATGGCTGGTGCAACCCATGTAATGAAGCCATACTGGGTGAAGCTGTAGATGAACAATCCGATTGGGAGGAAACAAGCACCACACATTGCACCGTACAATCTGGATTCCGGAACAATGTGTTGATCATGGGCCGCCATGATAGATTTGTACTTCTTGATCTGGAAGAAGTTCAATCCAAAAGCGATAGTCACACCAATACACAATGAAATGTATGGCAGACCAGCTATACCTTCATTCCAGCCGTGATGTTCTTGAAAGGTAATTGGAATGACCGACAAGAACAAGAAGGTGACGAACCAGGCGAAAGCGATCCATAGACCGAAAGCGAAAACGACTGGCTCTGTGGCAAGCATTTTGACGGCCTTGACGGAAGAATTGTGAAGCATCTCTTTCAAGTCCTTTGCCTCGAGATCCATCTCGGCCTTGTATCTCTCATCGCCTGTTGCAGCTCGGAGAAGCTTGGCTCGTTTGTGCAATGCGACACCGCCTCTAGTTTCACGAAAGAAAAGAAGGATTGCAGCGAGAAGTGGTAAGTTTGCCAATCCTTGAATTCCCTCGATCCATCTCCAGCCAATTGTTTCGTCGATGAATCCGGCATAAATTGGCGCGCCAACCGTTCCCAAGATAGCTACATATGCGAAGCATGCCATTGGAACAGCTCTTGAATCCGGTGTATACATATCACTGAAGGTTCCACCCACGAGAATGGTGCCTACACAACCAAACAATCCACCTATGATTTGTTAGTAATTGTGCATTGCTATCTTTGGAAAAAGGGATAATTACTCAATGTTCTCATGACAAGAATTGTTGCAATGTTTTTGCCGAGAGCCAATCCGATGAAGATGATGATGAAGCCTGCATAAGCGCCAGTATAAATGATCTTTCTGCCGACCAATTCGCAGAAAGGTGCCAGGAACAATGGTGCGAGTGCACAAGCCATGTTGAAACAGAAGAGTCCCAATTGTCCTAATTCGGTCGAAACACCAAAGTCATCGCACATTGATGTGATTCCACTACTATATGCAGTTGTTGCCAAACCGATGAAAAGTGTCATCATGCACAGCAACACTGTGATGAACACTTTCTTTCCTGTGGGCCAGTTGAATGGATTCTCTGGATCTCCATTGGCGAAATGAAGGAGAATATATTCCCCGCCATCTTTTGTGATGAGCTCAGTGCGAGTTTCTGGCATATCGATATTGACCTCTTTCAGAGGACCGTCTTCAACATTGTCGCTATCGCTACCACGCATCGACTCTAAGAAAGAACCTCCTGCTACTCGTCCAACGGGTGGTGTTCGATTTTCCTCTTGCTTCAAATCCGGTAGTTCAGAATTCGAACTGTCCTTATTGTTGGGGGCGGGGCGAGGCCCATTGTGCTTTGGAAGGTCTGCCATGTCGTATTCTTGAGGTTCGTTGTGAGGATTCTGGGAAGTCGACATTTTCGGGAATGAGGGGATACTTGGGGAGATTTATTCAACTTTTGAAATAAGGAGACTCCAGAGAGGGGGCCCGTTAATATGCTCTCCAATTGTTGGAGCACCACATTTTCCCAGTAAGTCATCATCGACCTGCGTGCCGGTATGTGTTGCCATTGATCTATGTCGTCATAGACCGAGGAAAAACCGCGTGAAGAGATTTCGGCGACACTTCAAGTTGGAGTTCCATATTTTGGTGGACTGCCTGATTCAATCGTTGTTGATATCGGGTTTGACTTTTAGTTTTGATCCACAAAGAAGCCGGCACTAGATTAACATCGGGTATCCTAACACACATCCTTCCGACTCGCCTCGCCAACGGAATTGAAAAGTGTGTAAGAAATTTGGTGCATGGTCTACGATAAAGCCGCTCATTGCATGATTGAAGCAAGAGAGAGTAGCTGATTACGACTATTTTATTAACTTCACAATGTCGAAAATCATCAAATTTTGCTGTAGGGTCCTTCACTGAAACCGTCACTCACTGTTCGCATTGAAGCCCGTCAAATTTTTTCAACAGGGCTGGGTCCATATTTGTGGATTCCCAAACGCGCTAGAATGACACTAGAACATCACTAGAAGGATCTGATGTCTAGCGGTTTCCGGTACACGAACAATTCGCGTCCGGGCTTTAAGTTTTTGAACCTGTCGCCAAGTGGTTGTGTGCAAATTTTGATGGGCTAAAGTTGGCATCTGTAGCACTTGTTTACGATGCATCGACTGCTGTACGCATTATTCAATTCTGTTTTCGATACTCGATCGGAAGATTCGTGCATTGCGCTATGAAATTGAAGTTTTGGCCGTACTAATTTGCGACTATGCCGGAGATATTACATTGGTCTATTTCTGTAATATATCCAAGCACGACATTTACTGACGGCAGCTATTTTTAAGGGTTTTATGGTTTACTGCAAACTTTACCAAGTGGCTTTTCAATTAGCTATTGGTTGGTGTTTATCATCTAGCGGTCCGCGCTCGCCGCTCCCGTCGAACTTAGCGATTTGATCGAACACTCCTTTCTCGAGTGTTGCCCTGCATACCGTATGAATCCTGCATGTCGGTGAGAAATAAAAGTAAGGGATTTCCCTTGCGAAACGCTTCGAGACCTTACAAACAGAAATGAGGCTCTGGAGGTGAGCATCATAGGCAATGATGCTCATCGGATAAATCGAAAATGGATATCCGGCAAGTGGGGCTAATCCTAGAAATGATCCACCATTTAATGGGTACGAGATATTCCATAATTGGGACTCCTGGGCTGGTATCTCGTTTACTTTTCTTTTCTTGGACGTTCCTTGATTTTCGTGAAATAATCGAAATCGTTGCCATGCTGGCTATGACGGTTTGGGCGGAACGAGTGAGATGTCCGGTGGCTTTGTCGGATAATTTCAGAGCCTCACTGGCTTGAAATAATCTGTGGGATTTATAAGATAAGGTGGGTTTGCTGCATGTTGCTAGAGTTATGTATCATCTCACGATCTGGATGATATTAGCACTACAAAATCACAAGACGGCGCGTTCCATATTTGTTTACGAGATGTGGGACAATTATCTGCGTCTAGTCAATGGTATGATGTTCTGGTGGGCAACAAAAACTGAATTCACGTGTTTAGATGACCACGTTGTCATTGACGTCTTTATCAATAGTCATTGAAGTCAAAATTCATCTTAACACATCAAAGTACGCAGTGCAAGTGCACGTACCCTTGTTTCTATAGATGGACCTTTCAATGAAAGGAAACCAATATTCAGTTACCATTTAGTATTCGTGCTTGCTGATCATTGCGGAATTAAGATATCTTGAACAGGTTGGGGAGTGGGTGAGAGGAGAATGGGGAGAAAAGGTGAGGAAAAAGGGCCGTTTCCGCTTCCCCAATTTGCATGCTGTACAACAAAACATGGTCTCACACCACTGTACTCCGTATGCTTGTGAATAGTTGGGGGAAGGGGATGGGAGCGGTGGGATGGGAGGAGAATCGAGGGGGAAAAGGGCCGTTTCCCCTCTATGGAGTTTTTAGGAATTATTCGGGGATTTATTCTGTTGTTATCTGGGTCCTGGGTGTGCGATAATCAAAAGTATTGAAGATATTGTAAGATGTTTTTTTGTTTTGTTTGGCTTCGATTTCTATCTAGACTTCATAGACCTTTGGAATGAATAGCTATTGTATTTTATTGTATTGTAGAAACTTCACACGGAATAGAAATTATCACATGTACCCAAAATATTACAATATCGGCATCGTATCGTATCGGATCGGTAACCCATACATACATACCCATTCACTCCCATTCCATCCGCTCCCACACATCCCGAACTCCACACTTACGGAGAACATACATACATACACACTTATGGATATGGATATGGATATGGATAGGTATCCCATATCATTACCACTTTTCCAACTTGGAAACTCGGGAATTTGGGAACCCCGGTCGTTTAGATCCCGATTTCTTCCATGTTTGTGGGATTTTCGTTTTGTTTGTTTGTTTTTTTGTTTGTTTGTTTTTTTGTTTGTTTGTTTGTTTGTTTGTTTGTTTTTGTTTTTGTTTGTTTTTTCTGTATTTGGTTTGTATTTGTGAAATTGTGAATGAATGGATGGATGAATGAATGAATGAATGAATGGGTGGGGGGTATGGAGTTGGGAGTTGGGGGTTGGGGGGATGGAATAGAGGGGGGTTGGGGGGATGGAATAGAGGGGGTGGAACAGAGGGGATGGAACAGAGGGGATGGAACAGAGGGGATGGAACAGAGGGGATGGAACAGAGGGGATGGAACAGAGGGGATGGAACAGAGGGGATGGAACAGAGGGGATGGAACAGAGGGGATGGAACAGAGGGGATGGAACAGAGGGGATGGAACAGAGGGGATGGAATAGAGAGGATGGAATGGTAACTTGTGCTCATGCTCAATCATGCTTCGTTCGTTGAAAGTGGTACTTGGGACTCGGGACTCGAGATTCGGGACTCGGGAATCGGGACTCGGGAATCGGGACTCGGGACGTAGGACTTGGGGATGGATATTTGGGGATGGATATTTGGGGATGGATATTTGGGGATGGATATTTGGGGATGGATATTTGGGGATGGATATTTGGGGATGGATATTTGGGGATGGATATTTGGGGATGGATATTCAGTTAGTTAGTGTAGCGGAGTGTAGCGGGGTGTAGCTTTCTGATTTCTGATTTGAGGTGGTTGGTTTGGGATTTGGATATTAGGATATTGGGATATTAGGATATTGGGAGTGCGATTTTGAAGGTTTGAAGGGGTGGTGGTTTGATGGGTTGTTGGGGAGTTGGGTTGTTGGGTTGTTGGGGAGTAGGGGGAATCTGGTGGAGGAGAGTTAGTGGAGGAAAGTGAGTGGGTGAGTGGTGGTTTGGTGGCTTGATGGGTAGTTGGGTAGTTGGGTAGTTGGGGAGTGAGTGAATAGGTAAGTGAGTGAGTGGGTATAAGTAAGTGTGAGTAAGAGGTATGTAGTTTTGTGATCTTTTAATGTTGGTGGGATTTATGTTTGTGTGGTTTATATTTGTGTGATCTATGTTTGTGTGATTTATGTGTGTATATATATGTATATTTTCCATTATAATATTGGCTTTGACTGAGAGGTATAGTTTATAGGTAGTATAGAGCGGATGATATATAATAGTATTATATCTGAGTTTTATTGGGAGTGGGTGGTTTTTTCGGCTTTTGTTTTTGATGTATATTTTTATATTTTTATGTGAGCCTATATATATGTATATGTATTCAATTACAGAGTGTGGTGTGTAGGTGATGTGATGTGATGTGGTGTAATGTAGTGACTGATTTTCTATTGAGATTGTGTGAGTTTTTTGGTTTTGATGAGTTGATGAGTTGATACACCCGATTTCATAATGTGTGTCCAAAATCTAATTTTTTAGTGCTTATATGATTTTTGTTTCAAATAGGGATTATATTCATAATATTATTATACTTTTATTAATATCTTTATAATTAATAATTCAATTAAAGTAATTTCTAATTAAAAGTTATGATTATTATTAGGGGATTAAAACACCCTATTCCTAAAAAGATTATATTTTCTTTTTTTCCCAAAAAAGATATTTATAGATTGAAGTTTAACAAAAATATTCTAAAAAAAAAAACAAATAGTTTTCTTTTAAACTTATTAAAGAGTTTTCTAGCTTTATAAAATCTAAAAATCCTTTTTTGAAGAGTATAAAACCTTAAAGAAGTGTATTAAAGAATAATAAAGCTTCTATTAATATTATTAATAATCCAAAAACACTATTTCCAGAATCTATTCAGATTTCATTATCTATTAATATATCTATATCTAAGCCTTAATATCAACTTTCCTCTTTTTCTAAATCTGTATTCAATTCTAATTTGAGGGATACTATATATAATATCTATACTAGATTTTCTTTTAATTAATATATTAATAAAAAACTTTATTCCATAATCTATTTTATTATTAATATTAATAGTACAATATAATTTGATTATATTAATCTTTTAGAAGCTTTACAAAAAAATAATAATAATTAAGTAGATATAAGGAATATATTGGTGGAAGATAGATTTATTTCAAAGAAATAAATAATCTATATAGATTCTATAAAAGATAATGAGATGAAGTTTGTAATACAAAATTAAATGTAATAGAAATAAATGTTTTGTAATTTATATCTATAAAAGCATAACGATAAAAAACACTTTAATTTTGTGAAAGTGAAAATCTACTTTAATCTGTTTGAAAAGTATATAGCTAGTTTTATTCCTAAAAAGAGATTTAAAAAAAGCAATAAATAAATTCGATAAATAAAGCTTGATTCAAGTTTTGAATACAATAAGAAAGATATAAATATTGAGAAAAAAGAAAAGAAAAAAAAAGAAAAAGGAGATTAAAGGAATAAATAGAATATTATTATAAAGCGAGTATTGCAAAGAATGAATATCTAGAAAAAGGATAATTCTAAAGCAAAATAGCTATACCAGACAGTTTTAAAATAATAGAAATATGAAAAGTATAAATATTCTAATTTTGATTATTGTTATTGGGTTTTTAGTAAAAAAACATATTATATAATGATAATGGATAAATAGCTTGAATAAGCTAATTATATTATATATAAAAGGGAGTATATTAGTTTAAATAGATTTTTATATAAATAAATGGTAAAATAATCTACTAAAAGGAATTTAATTATTATAAAGATATATGGTAATAGGAAAAAGGAAAAGGATAAATCTATTTCTGCTTTTACTAGTATTTCTGTTTCTATTATTAATATTCACAACCCTTTTTCTTAAGATCATACTCCATCACTAGCCTTACTATTAGCTTTACCATTATAATATTATCAACCTCAATACCTATTATAGTTTTTATTACAATTCCTATCACAATTTCTATTTTTTACAAATAGTTAATCTACTACACCATCTTTTCAAAACTCTTAAAAACTAGCTTCCACCTCTATACCCATTTCTTTGTTATTTTGTATTAAAGAAGATTTATAAATATTATAGGAATATAGAGTATAATTAACTAGTAAGACTACAAATCTAATTTGATAAAAAATAGTTAAGAATACTATAAAATTAGTTTATAGTGAATTCCTTATCCTAGAGTAATTAAAAGTTATAGATTCTATATTTCTTTCTGGAGTATCTAATAATATTCTTATAGATATTAAAAAGAATATAAGTACTTTTAAAGTACTTTAAAAGAATTAATAAAGGGAAGATGCAAGTAATATACTTTTAGATTTAAATGATATAAAATAAAAGACTTAAAAAAAATGGTTATTTATATATATCATAATTTTATAATCTTTTTAATAATTTAACAATTGTATAGAAAGAGTATTTATTGTATTTTAAACTAATTAATAATACTATGGATATATTCCATAATTCAAGAAATATGTCTTTATTCTTTTAACTGTCTTTATACCCGTATAATACTCTTTTATAGCTTATTCTAAAAAACTTTGGTATATATTATATTTCGATTATTCTATACAATAATATTAATATATAAAGCTCTTTAAATTACTGAAGCTTGATTCAATAGGATATAGATCAGATAAATATAATAGAAGATATTGAATTAGAACTTCTTTTTCTCTAATTATTACTTTAATATTACCTGCAAATGTATAATAAGCTAATATATTATTTATTAGAATTATAAATCTTGTAATAGAATAAGGATTATATATAGGGATGATGTTATAAATAACAAAATCAGAAAAAAGCTTTATATTAAGAATATTTAGAAAGATGATTGATTTAATATATTTATTAATAATATATACTAGTAATAGAGAGATTTTAATATAATTTACTAATTGTTTTTGTATTTTGGCTTTAATCTCTTTTTAACTATATCTATATTTGCAATTACCAGTATACTTATTACTACCAGATTCGTTTAAATAGATTAATTAATCTTATTGAAAATGCTATATTTTATTTATTCAATTATTCCTTAATTCAACATTCCTTTAAGTAGTTTTTATAACCAATTGTTTCCTAATAAAATCTATTCGTTTAAGTATTCTAGAAATCATTAATTAGCTAATTTCTATATCAAAAACTTTTTAAAGAAAATCTGTAATTTCATTCTAATATTGTGAGCGAAACTTGGTACTGGTCACGTGACCTCTTTCTGTAGCTAGTATTTATAGGTCTTTTTCGTATAGTTTAGAAAAAGTAGTCAGTTCCCACCCACCTTCTCGTACGCTTTGTAACACGCTATATAATACCTACTCCTCCTCTCCTCCACCGGAGGCACTACGTCTCAGTGACTTATCTGTGATATTTACAAAGGACTACTTTATGACCCTACCACCTTCTATTCTTTTACAATATAATTATAATAATTTATTATAAATCTTCTTTATAGTATTATTTATTTCAGATATAATAATATTAATAGAACCTTTTAATAGCTGTTTTTTAGACTCCCCTTTTTTAATGTAATTCAAATACCTTTTAATTGTTTATATAAATATTTTATAGATTAAATTAATTATTTTGTAATAATTAGAAATAATAGATCTTTCCCAATGTATTAATATATGATCAATTGCTTTTGAATCGAAGAAATTAAGTTGGGAGGGTATTATAGAGACTTTATATATAATTAGATAATAGAATTAAATTCTAGCTTTAATTTGATATATTTATTATAATAATTGAATATCTGATTATGAAGTTTTTAATAAAATAAATGGATTATAAATATATATTACAACTTTTTGAGGTGTTTTGTAAAAAATACAAAAAAATTAGGTTTTGGACACATATTATAAAATCGGGTGTAAATTAATAAGTTGATGAATTGATAAGTTAATAAATTGATAAATTGATGAATTGATAAGTTAATAAATTGATAAATTGATGAATTAATGAATTGATAATTAGATTATTAAATTTATATAAGTACTAGCGCTAAGTTAGCAGAAGATATAACAGTAAATATCAAATTCCCAATCGATTCCCTCTATCTAATATCTATAACCTAGGTAGCTGCGCCGAATATACGATACATTTATTGTAAATTATCTTATTAAGCGGTATAGATAGGAAAATAACCCAACCCCTCCATTGGGATATCTTTCCAGTCTGCTATGTTTATATCCCATCTAATAATCCGGTTTTGTGTTTATAGCTTGCAATTTCTATGTTTTTGAATATGATTAGTATCGTAGTGCTGCGTTTCCAATCTACGAGTTCATGTTGTATGATTTGCCGCCGGCTTGTCGTGATGGTGTAGCTTTGGAAGCAGGTATAGAGATATAGAAATGGAGAAATATAGAGAGGAGGGCCTAGCTTTTGCATTCAAAGAAACTCGGAATCCAGTAAGGAATTAAGAGGGTTGGTTTGTGATTTTTGAATTAGACGATAAATATTTTGTTTGTGCTTTTGAATGTGTGAATTTGTGTGTGGAAGCCTGGGAGAAGATTAATCAATAACGGATATCCTCGCTTGTTCTCTTTCTTCTTTCTTCCTTCCATCCCGCTTCCCTTTCTTTCGTTGGGATCAAAACTCCTCTTTCGCCTCATAATACAAACCCCCATAATCAAAATCAACACCAACACCAATACTCCTCCCAGCCAAACTCTAGACTGAAACCCAGCTTCCTCGCTCATGTCTTGACCAAGTCGTATCTAAATATCTAGCACGAGGCATATATTCTTTCCGTAGATTGTAGCGCGGATTGGAGTCTCGCTTGCCGAGACGGAGACGAGCTTCCATGTTGTCGAAGGCGGAGTTGCTGGGAAGTGTTAGGGGATGGTGGTTAAAGAGGAAGTAGGGAGGAGGAAGAAGGGGGAGTATGAAGAAAGAGAAAAATAAAACTCACTTGAACCATTTCTTCCACAACTTATGATAATAACCACCGCGTCCCTTATGATTTGTCCACAGATTCGATTTGATATGAGAATTGCGATTATATTGTTTCTTGCGGCCATGTGTACCTATCTTCTATTAACATTTCCCATTCTATACTCCAAGTTGGTAGAAGAGGACTCACATCGAAACTTTTTGCTCTTCCTCCTCTTGGTGAAAACACTACATTCACCACAATATTTCATATCCTTCGGCATCCATTTCTGCAGTTGTTTATGCAGCATCTTCGAGCGAGAGAAACATTCACAGTGATCACCCCAATAATGATCTTGACATTTTTTTCTTGTTAGAGGGGGGAGATTTTCCGCCGCGCGGAGAATGTTTATGTAGTGGAGAGAACGATCATGGCTGTTATCGTGTTAGTATTTTTCATCCTTTGTTTTCTCATCTAGTCAAATAGGATAAATGGGATGAGAATTGGAATTGGAATGAGAATTGACGAGTGGGATATCGATTGAAGAGAAAACTCACCATAGTTGTGCTCCTAATCCACATTTGCGGATGGGAAAGCGCCACGGTTTGTGAACACCAGGGGAAATATGCGATACTTCAGGTTTTGAGCAGAAGACTTCGGGGGTAGGGGAATAGTCGAGGGAAACGGGGTATTCGGGGGGTGAGAGAGTGTAGAGGTATTTACTTGATGGGGTGTTAGTGTATATCTCGTAGATGCGAGATGATGGGATGAGATGGGAAAGGGGGAAAGAGGAAACATACCACGTGAGTCTGAGACAGGTACGGTCGGTTGGGGGACATTGTTCGAGGATTATACTGTGGATTTCGGGGGGGAAAGAGTTGAAGAGGGGGAAGGTAGACATTGTGATTGAATTGTCGATTTCTTTTGGTTTTGTCTTTTCTGTGCTCTTTCCAATGATTTATCGCAACCCTTATGTCTCGAGGTAGACTCTCTGTATATACGTAGATATAATATACCGTATAATATAACACAAAATTTCCTCGACTTCTTCAAGAAATATAAACAATCGATTCCAAAATCAAACACAAACACTATATCTTCAAATATTAAAATTCATCATCAAATCCAAGCCGAAATCACCATCTATATATCTTCAAATCCATTTCCATTCCATCGCCAAGCTTCACGTTCGAGATCTCATTTCGTCAATTTCAATCAAATGAGCATGGAATGCGAGACGGATCGACAGGCTACAGCTCCGCTTTTGCAGGCAGAATTGAGGCACGTGCTGTGTAGCACGTGAAAGATTGGCACGTGTAGACTTGGCGATTTAGGCAGGAAGGCAGCTTGTGGGGTGGGTTGGTTTTCTTATGTTTGGTGTTGGGATTTAAATTCATTGATGAACAATAGCGTTTCTTTGCAGGAATGAAATGGGTGGGAATTATTATGCTTATGTAAACGTCATTCAAAAGAGAAATGATGCTGATGGGATACGGATTATCGCTATCGATGAAGTTTACACTGTCGAACTCCCTTTTCAATTGGAACTGATGTCCGAGGAACTCCAGGACGATGTTCTGTTTTGGAAACACGATGAGGTTTTAATGGAATTATTAGACAGTCATGTGGCAATTTACACATTCGGTTTATTTCAGTGGTTTGGATTAAGAGGTTTCGGGCTACTCTTATGGAACAGGTCTCGTATTCATCGCAGCTATTGCAAGACCGAGGATACGATAGAAACTTGGATGACGGTGAGCTATCGGGAAGTGGAAGCGGTAGAGGGATGAAATAATCGAGCGAGAGGCTCGTAGTGTGTACTATGAGTGTCCTAGCTTTACTTTGCTCATTCGTTAGAGGATGACTACACGTGAGAATTTCACTGGTTAGGACAACACTCCCATGAACATATAACTTAATCTGATTCCAAATTTAACCAAGATAGGGAATACATGCACTATCACCTGTAGAATTCTACTTGATCTTCTTGCCCTTCATGCCCAGACAAGATCGAGGGGTTGATGCACGGACCAGATACTTTCGGTTATCTACCCCTATGTTAGAGTGATTATTGCATTCTAGATTCTCTTGAATGCATCTCTCTCTTAGCGGTTGCAGCTCTAGGACTTTGCATTCCTTGTGCTTCATCTGTGATCATGAACTGCAGAACGTGGAATTGCAAGATCGAAAACGTGTCAGCTATCCAACACAAATATCATATAACTTCATTTTGCACCAACTGTGTGTCGAGGTCGACTAGACATATCTCACAAATATCCTGTGACTACATATCATTACGAGAGGTGAAGCCATGCATGAGAAGGGCTATCTTCGATGCATATCATTTTCAACAGTATGAAACTTCAATTTTGACTTTCGCTCTGCGATTGTATAAATCAATCATTTTGATGAAGCATGTACTCAGAAGCTTAATTTATGAACATATCCAGCTTGATCAACATTTCAACTTCACCTACATCCAGATCAATCAAATCAAACACCTCACTCTCCACCTACTTGTATCTACCAACTAAACTCACACCTCACTTGCTACTTGTATCTTCACTTATCAAGACAAGTCAAACTTAGTACATCGTTTCCCTCGCTTGAATTTCTATCAACTTCAAACCAAACTCACCTTTGACCTCACCAAACTGATATTTAACTCTTTATTTTCAATTGATTCATAGTCGAATCTGTACCTTTCGGCCCTATCTTTGAGTACACAAACCCCAAGAGCATGAAATTATCCATGTAAATAATCCTCTACAAAACATCAACTTTCCAGAGTCCCATATCTTCGCACATTATAATTGTGAAAAGAGATTTCCAACTTCATCGATGCAGATTTTTGTTTGATACATGGCAATCAGCTTATTCCTAGCGCCATTTGAACCCTCATTTATACTAACGCGTCTTCTCCAGACCACTGTCTCCCTTACAACCCATTCCACAAATCCGCATCCTCTTCTGTTTTTCTTATGCGTATGCGCCAAACCCATATTCTTCAGTTTCGTAGGCTTGCCTACAATTCCATCTCTTCTCCCAAAACTTTTTTTGGATCTTTAAATTCCCGACATCTTCCTCGATCTTTAACCTTCTGCTACACTCCCTTTGATATGCAGTCAACCACACATCTCTTGTAAAACAATTCTGTGTTGATATTGCAAGTTAAAGTAAGTCGCACACGTATCCGAAACAATCAGCACACTGTGAGATCTGGTTTTAACCTTTTGGTTTGCTTAGGACTCTATAAACCACCTTTATCACGCGTTTTGCGGCTGTAATTCTCCGCCAACGACCAGGAGATTACCCGCTATATACCCATCAAATTTTCAAGATGTCTGTAGTAAGTCTATCTGTCTATATTGTTCCCACCAGAACTCCCTCAATCCCACTTCATCATCCCAAACCTAACCCTCTCCAGCTCATCATCGACCCATCCGGCGACTTCCACCTACATGTTTTGGAAGTGGATTCCTTTGCATCTGCCACTTTCCTCGTCTCTCGCAGCACTCTAGAAAAAGACTGCACCCACGACCTCGCCTCCGACATTCGTGATTCTCCCACCAATTTCCTCACTCTCTACAATGTTGATATTATCGCTATGGAAACCATCCTCCGAATCATCCACGGTGTTCTCGATCTCAACACCCATACCATCCCCAACATCCACTCAACATTCGATCAAGAAACCATCGCAACCCTCTACCACATTCTCGATCTCGGCATAAAATGGTTCAAGACCGAAGAACTCGGACCTTGGTTCTCCAAATTCTGGGCCGATCGCAGCGAAAATGAAATGTCCTTGTACGATATGAAAGTCATGTTATACCCATCCTACATCTTCCGCCACGCGGAAGCCTTTGCGCGGATTACCAAATCTCTTGTTTTGGAGTGGAGAAGTGGCGAGATGCATGGATTGAATCCGCTGACGGGGCGTGCGGAATTTCGCTTTGAGCATAGGATTTTGAGTCAGTATTTTTGTCTCTTCGTTATGATACAGAGCAACTCGTTCGTCTCAAGACTAGAATCCTCGAGCGCGAAATCACCAATAATCTCCTCGATCCACTGGATCATCTCTGCAATGAATTCTGCGAGGCAGGTGGTGAGTGCATGGTAGCATATAACAAGTCATTGAGAGACTGTCTCGTCATTCCTTCCATCGTGCGCAGAAATTGTTCCATCAGAGATATACTCGAGAGCGAAGAAGTGAACTTCTGGAATTGCATTAGTCCACCTAACGCTTCTGATCACTGTGCAAATATCCTATCCGGTAACCATATTGTGAAGATCAAGAAAAATGCTTTGAATTTCTGGGAGGGAATGTGTATCGAATGCGTATTGCGTACATCCGGCGGACACATCAAGCAAGAGCAATTCTGGGAAGACGGTCGATGTAAACGTTACGGAACCTCATGTCCCATTCCCCACAACTACCAGACGTGGAATTACAGTTACATGGGTCCATTCGAACTGATGTCAAAACATATAGCTGAGCAGAAAGAACGCGAGAAGAGTAAAGAGCGTACGAAGCATGGAATGAAGTTTTGTGCTAAATCTCTTGGAGGTTAGCTCTTATAATAAGAAGGAATAGTATTATTATAAGGATAGTGGAAAATCTAATCAATTTAAGCTTGAGGGATAAATTGAATATATAGAATAAGAATTAAATTGAAATCAATTTAGAAGAATTAGATTGAATTAAAATAAATTGCTTGCTTTTTTCTAGAATTTCTTTAAAGAATATTCTAGATTTATATAATTTATAATGAAATTCCAATATATTCTATATTTATAAATAAGATTGATTTAAATCATATCTCATAGAATCATTTTAGATAATAAAAAGAAAATACAATTAATCAATTTAGCAAGATTTCCTATATACTTTTATTTAATTCTATTTTATTCTATTTTATTATAAATCAATTTGATAAAAAATACTATTATACAATTATATAATAATATGATTTTATAATATAAAATCATATTATATATATTAGTTATCAATATATTCTTTATTTAATAAAATATTAATAAGTAATTTAATAGATTTATTATAAATTCTCACATATCCCCTTAATAAATATACTAAATCAATTCTATTATATCTTAATTTAGATTAATCTAATTCATAAATTCAATCAATTTAATTCAAACTAATAATTTAATAAGCCCATCAGCTTTTTATTTATTAATAAATATATAAATTAAATCTAAATCCCCTGATTTAATAATATCTCTAATATAATAGAATCTGATTATTATATACTTATTTCTTTTATAGAATATAGGGTTTTTAATAAACACTAACACAATCTGATTATTTATATATAAAGAAAATTTATTTTGTTTATATAGATTAAACTTCAATAATAACTTTTTAATATAAATAATTTTTTTAATAATTAGATTTATAATAATAAATTCAGATTTAATTATAAAAGAGTTATTACTAATTATAGTTTAGATTTCCAATTAATAAATCTATTTTTTAGTATAAATATATATCCACTAATAAATTTATATATATTAATCTCCCTTTTATAATTAGTATTACAGAATTCTTAAATATAAGGATTTTTAATTTTAATATAATTTATATCCTTATTTATAATTCCTTTTAAATATCTTAATATTTTTTTAATAATTTAAATATATTTTGTATTAAAATTAAATAAAAAACTAACTAATTTAGATATAGAAAATATTATATCTAATCTAATTTTGAAAAACTAAATATAATGAAAAGCTTATAATTTCTTAATATAATTTAATATTATTATTATTAATTTTCCTTTTATTATAAATTAGCTTTATTTTTAGATTTATTAAAATAAAAATAGAATTGGAATCTAGTATATTGAACCTAGTAAATACCTTTTTGATATATTCTGATTAATATAGCTTTAATATATTATTAGTCCTTTTAATTTGAATACCTAAATAATTCTTTATAGAATTTAAATTCTTTAAATTAAAACATTCCTTTAAATTATTAATAAATTTATTAATAATTTCTTAATTAAGATTATTATAATAATATTATCAATATATATACTTAGAATTATGTTTTTATTTTTATTAATAAAAATACATTTTTTAGAGATTAGATTTATAAAATTTAATTTATTTAATATATCTTTTAAAATGTAATATTATATTTAATTAATTATTTTAAGTTATATAAACTTTATTTAGCTGTCAAGTTTTATTTTTTAATTTATTAATTCTTTTAATAGATTTAATAAGAATCATACTATTGATATTACTTTATACAAATATTAATATTATATCCGATTTTATATAAATTAATTAATTATTTTAAAGAGCTATATCAATAACGAGTTTTTATATTATTGATTTAATTATTGATATATATATATTAATATAATCTAATCCATATAGCTATTGAATCCTTTAACTAATAAATCTAGCTTTAAATTTAATAAATTTATTTAAATCCTTATTTTTTATATCTATTAGTTCTTAGAATTTTTTTATTAAGATTATCAATAATATTCTAAGTTTTATTGAATTTAAAAATATTTATTTTGTATTTCATAGTTTTTAATTAATATTTCTTTTTGGAAAAGCTAATAGCTTCTTTTTAGATCTTAGATTTAATTAATATATAATCTGACTTATTAATAATAATCTTTTTATTATTTTTAAATCTAATATTAAAAGCTAATTAAAGATTTTATTAATTTATTTTGATATTCACCCCTTTATTGATTAAATTAAAGTATTTGGAAAAAGCAAGTTCATAATAGGAAATCATATATTTTTCATTATCAATAAAATCTTTATTATTAGGAATTAGATTTTTTATACACTTAAATTATTATATATTAAATTTTATTACTTTATTAAATATAGATTTATTAAGTATAGATTCACTAAAATCAATCTTTATATAATTAATTATTTTATTACTTTCATTATTTTCATTTATTTCGGAATTAGCTTGATACCTATTGCTATTAATAATATCTTTATTCTTTATATTATCTTGAATAGATTAAAATTCGAGATCTTTTTTTCTAATAACTTTAGATTCTAGTTTTTATATTTATTAGAGTATATAAAATCTTCTTGAATATTAATATTTTTTAAGCTAATTACTTTTTTATTAGCTGGAATATAAATTAAATAATTATTAAATAAATCAAAGTCTACTAGCATACCTTTCCAAGCTCTAAAATCCAGTTTTTTATTACAAATCTTTTTATTATTAATAATATAAATAAAAAAATCTAGGATTCTAATATAATTTAAATTAAGCTTTTTATTATTTATTAATTCAAATAATAAATTATTAATAAAACTATTATATATTCTATTCTTAATATAAGTGATAGCTTTAATTAAATATAACTATAAATAAAATAAAATCTTTTTCTTTTTAGTTATACAGATTAGTCTTTCAATTATATATCTGTTTAGTATTTCGATTATTCTATTCTGGAAATAAGTATATAAATTAATATATTCGTATATAATCCTATAATTTCGAATAAAATTCGATTATTTATTTAAAAGGAATTTAAGAGTATATCTAATCTTAGTATTTTAATACTAATATTAAACTGATTTCTAATTAGATTATAAAATTTTATTAAAATATTATAAACCTAGGATTCAAATTTAATAAGATATACCCAAATAATTCTAATAATCTAATCGACAAATATTAAAAAATATTTTTCACCTTTAATCCCTATAATTCTAAAAGATCCAATTATATCTAAACGGAATTTTTCGAATTTAAAATTTATTTTAAGAATTTCAGAGAATTCCTTATTTATTTTCTAATGGAATTTGCCGAATTTGTATAATTCACATGTTTCTAAATCAGATTTATCTATATTTAATTGGATATTCAAGAATTTAATAATATAATTTTTATTTATATAATCTAATCTCTTATAAATTAAATTAAGATTAACTTTATTTAATAATAAATCTGATTTTTAAATTGATTCCTTTTTCATTTTAAAAATATTAATACTTTTAAAACATTTAGAATTCACTTTAAAATTAAGATAATATATATTAATTAGTTAGGGAGTTATAATTTGTATATTAGTTTTTTTATAAATAATATCAATTTTGTTTTCAGGGAGAATAATATGACTAAATCATCCTTTTTTGGATTATTTTATTTGAATTGATAAGATTAAAGACTATATTGGGAATATAATATATTCCCTATAATAGTACTTCTGATTTATTATTAATTAGAATAGAAATATCTTCTATATTATTAATTTAAAGCTTTTTTTTATTAGTTATAGTAATGAAATAATTATTTAATAACTTATAATTTATAAATCATTCTCTATTGAATGAATAATATTCTATAATATCTGAATTTAACATAAATTTATATTTAAATTTAAAAGATTAATTAGTTAAATTTATATAATAATCTATAGTTATTAATTTTTGCTAAAGATAAATTCATTTAAATCTTTTTTCGAATCTTTATTTGAATTTTTATTTGAATTAATTTAAATTACTTTTTATTATTCTCTTTATTAATCTTTAATTCAGAATATTTATAAAGTATTTTGATTTTAAATATCCTTTTTTAAAATAATGCTTATAA